GGCTAATGGCATCTGTCAGTGGTTGCAATGGTGATCCAAGGTCATAATGTAATTTGAGCTCTACAAAGCACCATTGACTCTGCATTCTGTGAGGCTTTTAGTGAGTAATCATCAGGAGCCCCAGAACTTCGGTAGGCAGGTTGTTATTAATTTTATCTACATGCAGGTATCTTTTCATATAACTGTGAGAACACCATAACAACTGATCAGTGTCACAGGCATGGAATGGCACCGAGCTGCCTAATGACTAACTAAGTGGTACCAAACTGGTCTGGAGCAGCTTGACAGCCACGTTTACCTTTCTCCTCTTGGCCTTGGCTGAGCAGTGAACACTGTGTACTGCTTACCATTCCTCACATCAACTCTTCTTCCCCCCTTCTCTTTTCCAATTGCTTGATTGCTCCAGCATGTGTTTGCTACTGGCAACTGGCTGATAACACTTTGACAACCATGGGAGCAATGGGAAAATAAGAAAATAAGAAAAGGTAAATACATTAGTAATTAAAAGAATGGATAAACACAATGTCTCAAGCAAAAGGAGGTTCCATCTGAACATGAGGAAGAACTTCCTGACTGTGAGAGCCGTTCAGCAGTGGAACTCTCTGCCCCGGAGTGTAGTGGAGGCTCCTTCTTTGGAATTTTAAACAGAGGCTGGATGGCCATCTGTCAGGGGTGCTTTGAATGCAATATTCCTGCTTCTTGGCAGGGGGTTGGACTGGATGGCCCATGAGGTCTCTTTCAACTGCACGATTCTAAAAGGAAAATATGCACAACTGCGCAGCTTGGGAGTGAACCTGGACTCATCGTTGAGCCTGGAACCCCAGGTCTCAGTGGTGGCCGGGAGAGCTTTTGCACAATTAAAACTTGTGCACCAGCTGCGCCCGTACCTTGGGAAGTCGGATCTGGCCACAATGGTCCACGCTCTTGTTACATCCCGAATAGATTACTGCAACGCACTCTACGTGGGGTTGCCTTTGAAGACTGTTCGGAAACTTCAATTAGTCCAGTGGGCGGCAGCCAGATTACTCACCGGAGCGTCATACAGGGACCATACCACCCTCCTGTTATGCCAGCTCCACTGGCTGCCGATCCAGTTCCGAGCACAATTCAAAGTGCTGGTTTTGACCTACAAAACCCTATACGGCTCCGGCCCAGCATACCTGTCCGAATGCATCTCCCTCTACGTCCCACCTCGGAATTTGAGATCTTCTGGGGAGGCCCTGCTCTCAACCCCATCTCTATCACAAGTGAGATTGGTGGGGACGAAGAGCAGGGCCTTCTCGGTGGTGGCCCCTCACCTGTGGAATTCACTACCCGGGGAAATTAGGTCATCGACCTCCCTCCTTTCTTTCAGAAGGAAATTAAAAACATGGTTGTGGGACCAGGCTTTCGGGCAATCTGGCGATTAGATAAGGACAATGACGACCAGAATCGATGGTACTGACAATGTGGAATGAATTTACGGACTCTGAGATGGTGAACGCTGAGTTTTAGATTGTTTTTATTGATTTTGATGTATGAACTGATTGTCTTAATAGTTATAATTGCTGTTTACATGTTTTATCCATTGTTATGTTTATGCTGGCATCGGATTGTGCCTTGTAAGCCGCCCTGAGTCCCCCCTCGGGGAATGAGAAGGACGAGGTAGAAATTCGGGAAATAAATAATAAATAAACTGTATTAAGCGACTATAACATATTCCGATATACCTTCTCCTGCAATTCAATTAAGGGCCCATCTACATGAGCTATATACATCAATACTGATCCTGAATGGGATCTTCCAGATCAGTGTCACAGGCATGGAATGGCACCGAGCTGCCTAATGACTAACTAAGTGGTACCAAACTGGTCTGGAGCAGCTTGACAGCCACGTTTACCTTTCTCCTCTTGGCCTTGGCTGAGCAGTGAACACTGTGTACTGCTTACCATTCCTCACATCAACTCTTCTTCCCCCCTTCTCTTTTCCAATTGCTTGATTGCTCCAGCATGTGTTTGCCACTGGCAACTGGCTGATCAAAATGTGAACAGAATTGTTGCTGTCTGCCTTCAAATCATTTCCAGCTTGATGGCTGTAAGGTGAACCTGTTATGGAGCTCCCTCCTCTTTTTCTCTTAAAAAGACTTAAAGCAGTACCTATGGAACTCCCTGCCACAGGAGGTTCAGGCCAAAGTTTGCCCATGCCTAAGTTAGCCCATTTCCCTGCAAGCAAAGATTTTTTTGTTGACTGATTTTCATCGTATGTGCAAGTGGTACTTTAAATGTATTTTAAATTATATATTAATCTTTAGCTGTGTGTTTGAATAGAGTTGATACTAATTTTTAACTTTTTGCAGTTGTACATTTTAGCTAAACTTTTTTTAAAACTAGCCGTCCCCTGCCACGCATTGCTGTGGCCCAGTCTGTGTATATGTGTTTTGTGTGCGTATATATGTGCGTTTGTGTATGTATATGTATGTGTGTGTGCATATGTATATGAATATGTGTGCATGTACGAGTATGTGTGCATGTGTATATGTGTGTGTATATATGTATATTTGTGTGTGCATGTGTATATGACCCATTTAAGGTGGAATCCGGCGTCAAACAGGGATGTGTTATTGCCCCAACTTTATTTTCCATCTTCATGGCTATGATACTTCACCTTGTTGATGGGAAGCTTCCCACTGGAGTGGAAATCATCTATCGGACAGATGGCAAGCTATTCAACCTCAGCAGACTGAAAGCCAAAACCAAGGTTACAACAACATCTGTTATAGAACTCCAGTATGCTGATGACAACGTCATCTGTGCGCATTCAGAAGAAGATCTACAAGCCACTCTAAACACCTTTGCAAAAGCATACGAGAAGCTCGGCCTGTCATTGAACATCGAGAAAACCAAAGTGCTGTCCAGCAGTCACCAGCCAACCCCTCTCCAATGCCAGTGATACAGCTTAATGGTGTAACATTAGAAAATGTTGATCATTTCCGCTACCTTGGCAGCCACCTCTCCACCAAAGTCAACATCGACACCGAAATACAACACCGCCTGAGCTCTGCGAGCGCAGCATTTTTCCGAATGAAGCAGAGAGTGTTTGAGGACCGGGACATCCGTAGGGATACCAAGGTGCTTGTCTATAAAGCTATTGTCCTCCCAACCCTGCTCTATGCCTGTGAAACGTGGACTGTCTACAGACGTCACATGCAACCCCTGGAACGATTCCATCAGCGCTGCCTCTGAAAAATCCTGCAAATCTCTTGGGAAGACAAGCGGACAAACGTCAGTGTGCTGGAAGAAGCAAAGACCACCAGCATTGAAGCGATGTTCCTCCGCCATCAACTCCGCTGGCAACCCCGTTGTCCGGATGTCCAACCACTATCTCCCAAAGCAGTTGCTCTACTCCGAACTCAAGAATGGAAAACGGAATGTTGGTGGACAGGAAAAGAGATTTAAAGATGGGCTCAAAGCCAACCTTAGAAACTCTGGCATAGACACTGAGAACTGGGAAGCCCTGGCCCTTGAGCACTCCAGCTGGAGGTCAGCTGTGACCAGCAGTGCTGCAGAATTTGAAGAGGCACGAATGGAGGGCGAAAGGGAGAAGCGTGCCAAGAGGAAGACACATCAAGCCAACCCCGATCGAGACCACCTTCCACCTGGAAACCATTGCCCTCACTGCAGAAGAAGATGCAGAGCAAGAATAGGGCTCCACAGCCACATACGGACCCACAAGAATATTGGAAGACAATCCTCCTCGGAAAACGAGGGATCGCCTAAGAAGAAAGAAGATATGTATATATGTGTGCATGAATATGTATGTATGTGTATATGTGTCTATTTCTGTGTTTGTGCATATATATACATGTGTGTATGAATGTGTGCATGTGTATATGTATATGAGTATATTTGTATATGTATATATGGTGTATTTTGGGGGGTTTTAAGTTTGTTCTGCTGGGGTTTTGTGTGTGTTGTTTTTTTTTTCTTAAGGGTGATGGACACTTGTTGGACTGTAAGGTATATCATGTCCAAATTTTGTGACAATTCATCCAGTGCTTTTTGAGTTATGTTAATCCCACAAACATTACATTATTATTTACCGTATATTCTGGGGTATTACACGACTGGGGCTATAAGACGACCCACCAACTTTAGCACACAAAATAGAGAGTTGGGGATAAACTCGCTGTTTAAGACGACTCCGCATTTGTCCTCTACGCCTGGCGTGCGGTTGCCCCTGGGCCTCTGGGCTGCTTCCTGCGCCGCCTCCAGAAGGGCCTCCCGCGCTGCTCAGGCTGCTCTCCTTCTTCCTTCCGCCATGGCGTCTCTGGCTCTACTGGTAATTTTATTATTATTTTAATTTTATACCCGGGGTACTAGACAACCCTCTAAATTTTATAAGGTTTTACATGCCTAAAAAGTCATCTAGTACCCCGGAATATACGGTATATAGATTGTATAAACCGTTTTAAGTAAGGAGGGCTGTAAATGCAATAAGGAGCCCCCGGTGGTGCAATGGATTAAACCCTTGTGCCGGAAGGACTGAAGACTGACAGGTTGGAGGTTTCGAATCTGGGGAGAGTGCAGATGAGCTCCCTCTGTCAGCTCCAGCTCCCCATGTGGGGATATCAGAGAAGTCTCCCACAAGGATGGTAAAACATCAAAACATCCAGGTGTCCCCTGGGCAACGTCCTTGCAGATGGCCAATTCTCTCACAACAGAAGTGACTTGCAGTTTCTCAAGTCGCTCCTGACACGAAAAAAATGCAATAAATAAATACATAAATCAAATTTCCGAGAAAGCACACTCGGGAGCAAAATCAAAACACAAAATAAAAAATGCCACGCAAAAACACAAACAAAAGCAAAACAAAAAGCTATGAGTTAAATGAAGTTTTGGAAGCACCACTAATGCAGGATATGGTGCTGGGTGGCAGCTCCATTGTCTTTCTGTTGTCCTCTCATCTGGTTCCACTTGTATTTTTCTTATACATTTATATGGAAAGAAAACATGACAAAACGGTACAACTCTATAGTGCTCTTTAATGTGAAAAATTACAAAAATGTGAAAGCACCAATACCTGTCACAGACAAGGTGGGAAAGGTGTTTTTATGTCGATTCAAATGGAAATATGGTTCTGCAATTCACATTTTTACATCATAGATTTAAAAAAAATGTGTTAGAAATTACAGGAACGTTGGTAGTAGACTTTTAAACATACAAACTATAGTAGTGGTTTGGTGGCAACGAAGTCAGAGAGATTGTTGAAGAACAGAACTACTTGCTTACATTTCAAAACTGACTATTGCATTATTGCATTATGGTATGACAATTCAAAGAGAATAGCTTCTTGACATACACCATGAGAAAATTCAGAAAAGACAAACATCTAAACATGATAATACTGTTATTTGTGAGGAACAGTCGGCAATTCTGTTTCTCTGAACAATCGTTTGAGCAACAGTTCTGAAAAAATGAGAACTCCATAGAAACGAGAAGTCGGTGAGCGAGTAAACACAGTCATCCTGCATTTTGGTTACACAGGAAAGTGACTGTCTTAAAGAAAATAACTTTTCTCAGTTCTATCCACAGAGCAGTGTGTCCTTGTTAATTTTCTCCCACCTCAACTGCAATACTTTATGTAGCACCAAGAGCAAAATCAGGCTTTGGGAGAGGCTTTTTGTTTGGTTCGTGGAGGAGAACATTGTAGAGGAGAGATCCCCAAAACCCTCAGAGTACATAGGAGCGCATTATATGTCCTTCAGAGTAGCCACCACTGATCATGTTAGAATTTTCTCTCAACACTGTTTGGGTTTCTTTAAAGACCACAGGATGCCAGAATATGCATCTAGTTCTGTTTCCATATGGGTGAAATTCATCTTCCAAATACTTCCTGTGTGCAAATATTTAGGGATGAGGTTTGTTTGCATCAGGAAGATTTTAGAGAAACAAAAACATTCCAGTTTTTTTTAATTGCCTCCTTTTTTAAACCAGGTTTTGCACAATTATACACAACTCTCACATGTCCAAGAGCATTTTGGATAATAACTTCTCGATTTCCCATGTTTTACAGCAAGCTGGTTTGGAAAGAAAAGGAGTGTCTTGGAACATTTTCCGATATGACCCATTGATACAGTGGGCCCTCTGGATCTGCAGTCTCCAGATCCATGATTCCCACAAAAGGAAAAAGATCAAAAATTTCAAAGAAGAAGATCAAAATCTCACTAGATGAAGCTGGTAGAGCTTTTTGCACCCTGAGCTAGGGTTTGTCTGCAACTGGGACAAGAAAATACAGGAGCTAGCAAAATTCAATATTATTTAATCTAGCAGAACCAGTCCATACTTCAAGAAATAAAGCCTGACTGCTCATTGGAGGGAAGAATAGTTGAGGCCAAGATGAAGTACTTTGGCCACATCATGAGAAGAAAGGAAAACTTAGAGAAGACAATTATGCTGGGGGAAATGGAAGGAAAAAGGAAGAGGGGCCAACCAAGGGCAAGATGGATGGATGGCATCCTTGAAATGATGGATGGCATCCTTGAAGTGACTGGATTGACCCCCAAAAAGAAGGAGGATTAGGCTTACCGAATATACAAAAATATTCTGAAGCAAACCAATTAAGATATGTAGTAGAAAAGATGATGGATGGAGATGGTTTGGAATGGATGGAAGCAGGGAATAAGGCAATTGAGTGGAGAAAGGACAACATATTCTTTAAAGAAATTTCAAAGAAAGAGATAAAACAGATTGGAAATATGTCATTAAGAAATATAATGGAAATATGGAGCAAGTATAAAGGACAACTAATCAATAAGAATTCAGTCGTAACACCAATAATAATGGAAAAAGATTTCCCAAAGGTACTAAAAGGAACTTTAGATAAATAATTAGAAAAAAAGGAACTAAAAAGGGTAGGAAATTGGATAGAACGTAAAATGAAAAAGGTAAACATGAGAAAAGAATTGAGAGGAATAAACATTTCTTGGCTCCATTGGATTCAGTTAGAAAAATGGAATAACAATTGGTGAGTCCGAAATAAAACTGGGAAACAACTAACACAGTTTGAGGAATTGATAATAAAAGAATTAAAAAGAGAAAATGGCGAGCAATTAAAAGGAACAACAAGTAAAAAATATAAAATACTAATTAAAGACACAGGAAAAAGAAAAGATTAACATTAAGAGAATTATGGGAGGAGGAAGTAGGAACAATGATAACTGAAAAAGAATGGGAAGAGATATGGAAAACAAGACACTTAAAAACATGTCAATTAGAATAAAAGAAAATTATTAAAAACTAATTTGGAAATGGTATTTAACACCAAGAAGGTTAAATATTATAAATAAGAACAATAATGAAAAATGTTGGCGAGGATGCCAAGAAATTGGAACCTACATGCATATGTGGTGGGACTGCAAATATGTAAAAGATTTTTGGGAATTGGTTATAACAGAAATAGAAAATATCATGGATATAAAAATTAGGAGGAATCCAGCAGAAATATTACTTTTAATTAAAAAAGAGGATGGGAAAGATAAGAGGGGAAAAAATAATAGACATGCTATTAACAGCAGCTAGATTATTAATTGCAAAATATTGGAAAGGGGCAATGAAAATACAGATTAATGAATGGTATAAAGAAGTCTGTAAAATGGCACTGAACGATAAGCTAACATCAAATTTAAAAGTAAAGAAGGGATTATGTAAAAAAAATGACTTTGAAAGTATCTGGAAAAAATTTCTAGAAAAATGATTGGAAAAAGAAGATGGGAATTTACCTCCAAATGAAGAACTGATTTTTGGTGGGACTTTAAGAAAAGAGATGGCTCTGGAGAAGGGGAGCACAGGGGTGAATGTAAATAAAAGAGAAGGAAATGTATAGTATATGTCTATATAACTGTATTTTCTCTTCTCAAATAAAAATCTAATGAAATAAAAAAAGTGACTGGATTGACCTTGAAGGAGCTGGGGGTGGTGACGACAGACAGGGAGCTCTGGCGTGGACTGGTCCATGAAGTCACGAAGAGTCGGAAACGACTGAATGAATGAACAGCAACAGCAAAAATGTTTATGGAAACCTATGGGCTACAGCACAGATAACACTCTTCTTTACTCCACGCAAATGTTGCAGAGCCACTGCACCAATGGGAGTGATCTATTTTGCTTGCACACCACACCTGATATCTGCTCAATAACATTTAGGAACTAGCCCAACCAGGCTTATAACACTGACAAGTGCCATATGGCTCAGGCCCTTTCTACCCTGCCATATAAAATCTAGAGTATCTGCTTTGAACTGGATTAAATGGCAGTGTAGGCTCATATAATCCAGCTCAAAGCAGATCATGTGGATTATCTGCTTTAATAACCTGGATTATATGGCAGTGTAGAAGGGGCCTTGGACACTTCTATATGTTTATTTATCCTTACTAATCTCTTACCAAGCTTCTGCATGGGCTGGAATGTTTTGTAAAAATGAATTTCACCATCTTGGAATAGGATTCTGCACTGAGGTATGCTTTCTTTGGTTAGTATCTTTTTTAAAAGTACAATATTTACATCATTTCAAAATTATAATTAAAAATTAAATTTTCATGGGACGGAGGAAAAGATCATTTCCTTTGTAAATCTGAGATATAGCTGTTTTCAATACAAAGGACAATAAACCTGTTGCTACAGCTATATGCTTTTTGATCCAAAAGCTTTCCAGACTGCAGAGGTGATGCTTGTCCCATCACAGCAAGATCTGCTGTCCTCCAGGCTTCACAGTAGTTACTAATTTGTCGTATTCCATGTGGACTTGAACCATGCCAGATGATTTTTTGAGGCCTAAAGATAGAAGAATGTTTTAAAATTCTTGCGGTTATTGACACTATACATTTCATGTCAAATATTAATTAATGTAATGTTCATTCAGCAAACTGTGGTAAAGGAGGAATGTATTACCTGGAGAGATTACCTGGAGAGATTAGGAAAGCCCCTACCCCAGAAACCTTTAGGAAGCACCTTAAAACCTGGCTCTTCCGCTGCGCCTTTGGTGAGTAGGTATACAACCTCGCACTATTGCTTAGCCTCAATGTTTTGTCATTGGAGCATACATTCCCCTTCCCCTTGTGGGAAAGTTTGATTAAAATAAATAATAATAATAATAATAATAATTATTATTTAGTTTATTCACCGGTATCTCACTTTTCTCCTAGTATTGGGTTTCAAAGGAAGAAGGGGGTTGGTAAGAGAAAGATCGTTTTTAGAGTACAGTTCTTTTACATAGTTTTTTTTTCTGAGGTGGGGGGACAAGTAGTTTCGGTTTATTTTATGATGCTAGAAGTATTTCTAGCATTATAATCTCACCTTGTGACTCTGATCCCCCGTTGTGGCAGATTTTAGTGTGGGGTGTCAAACTCATTTTCATCAAGAGCCACATCAGCCTTACGGTTACCTTGAAAGCAGGCCCTTAGCCAGGATTTTGTTTCGGGGGGGGGGGGGGGGCTGAGTCTGAGTGAAAGAGGGTCTACCCTAGCAAACCTTTTGTATCGTTACCCCAATACCCCCATGCATATGAGATATATTGAGCATGGTGATCAGAACATGATATGTATAAACATAACAGTCTAAATAATGTACCAGTAAGACCTTTTCGCAGACCACCATGAGAATTTCGGGGGGGGGGGGGGCTGAAGCCCCAAAGCCCCCCCCCCCCCCCCCCCGGCTACATGCCTGCTTGAAAGGGTTATTAAAGCCGTAGACAGAGAATCCGTGGATACAAAGGGTCAAATGTGTGTGTGTGTATTACATAGCGGCAATGCTCTTTAGTTTTTACCCAATTGGGATCCCCAGATATTACTGAATGGGAACTCTGGTCACTTTTGATTATGTGGGATAATATTTGTATCTACATTCAAACCCCACTGTCTTAACTAAATAGAACTAATTGCAGCCTTCCAGATTTTACTGTATCACAACTTCCATCAACTCTATAATAATAATAATAATAATAATAATAATAATAATAATAATAATAATAATAATAACAACAACAACAACAACAACAATAATAATAATAATAATAATAATAATTTATTTATATACCGCTCTATCTCCCCGAGGGGACTCAGAGTGGTTCCCAGGTAAAAAAATCACAGAACATACAAAGTAAAACAACATAACCATAAGATTAACAAAACAAAATATGCATTTAAAACAAACTCTAGTCATGATGTCTACTGATGTGAGCCAAAGAAGATGACATGGTGGGCTACATTTGGCCTGCAGGCCTTGAGTGATAGATCATCTTCTTTGGTCCCTATATTTATTTATTTATTTATTTATAACATTTATATTCCGCCCTTCTCACTCCGAAGGGGACTCAGAGCGGAGCACAGCATATATACAGCAAACATTCAATGCCGGGACACAAATTCTTATATACCTACATAAACATTAAAAACATTTATCAAAATATTAAAATACACCATTTAAAACCACCCTAGTCATCCGTGTAAAATCTAATTGGCCTGGTCATCTGTTCTATTGCCGCTTTATTGCCCTGTCCCAAAAGCTTGGTCCCACAGCCAAGTTTTTACCATCCTTCTAAAGGACAGGAGGGAGATGGCCGACCTGATCTCACCAGGAAGGGAGTTCCATAGCCAGGGAGCAATCACCGAGAAGGCCCTGTCTCTCGTCCCCACCAATCGTGCCTGTGACAATGGCGGGACAGAAAGCAGGGCCTCCCCGGAGGATCTTAATCTCCATGATGGTTCATAGGGAGAGATGCATTCGGACAGGTAATTTGGGCCGGGGCCGTTTAGGGCTTTATAGGCCAAAGCCAGCACTTTGAATTGTGCCCGGTAGCAAACTGGCATCAATGGAGCTGGCGTAACATGGGAGTTGTATGCTTCCTGTATGCCACCCTAGTTATTAACCTGGCTGCCTCTCGTTGGACTATTTGAAGCTTCTGAGCAGTCTTCAAAGGCAACCTCATGTAGAGTGTGTTGCAGTAGTTTATCCTAGATGTAACAAGAGCGTGGACCACCGTGGCCAAGTCTAACTTCCCAAGGTATGGTGCAGCTGGTGCACAAGTTTTAATTGTGTGAAAGCTCCCCTGGCCACTGCTGCAACCTGGGATTCCAGGCTCTTTGATGAGTCCAGGAGGACCCCCAAGCTGCGAACCTGTACCTTCAAGGGGAGTGTAACCCCATCCAGCAAAGGTTATTGCGACCCTATACCCTGTTCAGCCTTGCAAATGACCAGGAGGACCTCTGTCTTGTCTGGATTCAACTTCAATTTGTTCACCCTCAAAAGCATTCAATTTGCTGGGAGTTTTTTGGTTGTAAATATTTTGTTTATTAAAAATACCCACAAAGTTGCATTGTCAAATGGTTGGAATTTCAAGAGATTTTTTTAAAAAGCTGTTCAGTAAAAATGGCACAGGATACCCAACTTGAAATCTTAATTTTGTGTAGGTTCTGAAACAGACTAAACTGTCCCATCTTGGTACACATGCAGCTGTTAAAATCATTAAAATGTGAAGGTAAACTTACCAGGCTGGATCTGTGAAGACATTTCTGCCATCAAAGGAGTATATTGGAATCCGGAGGTCAAACTGACCTCCTTTGCCAGAGAAAATTGCCTCCCAATTATTGAACAATATTTCGCCCTGTTGGGGAAAAATGAGTGAAACTCTTCAAATTAAGTGAACATTCAGCATTATTTCTTGTCATAATATTAAATACTTTGTTTAGTTTTGTTCTAAAATCTGGGTCTATTTCTCATTCCAAGGTTTTGGGGTTGCATTTATCTGCTTCTTACTTGCTTATGATTTTTCTCTCTCTTTGAAATTCAACCACTACTCACAATGTGTAGAAACTGCATCCAGCTCTACAGTTGACAGACCATTTACCCAAAGAACATTCCTGTTTCTTTAAAAGTCCAAAATGGTGAAAGAAAGTGTACTTGTGAGTTCTCCCATCCAATTCCCAGTTTGCCCCAGTTCCTACTCTCCCCCTTTTCCACTGCTATGGGCCCTGTTTTTTCCCCATGAACTATAAAGTAAAATGAAAGTGTGCTGTCGCACGCTGGGCCTGTGCATAAGACTGTAGACAGGACATAAATTCCGTGTGTTCAACGGGATGCCGGGGCTGCCTCAGATTAAAGGCCCTTGGATTTCCTTAAAACAGAGTCTTTAGTTTGCTTAAAGGTTCAACAAAGTTCTTTATTCATGAAAACAAACAGGCACTTTAAGTCTTTCTTAACAATCTATTGACTCTTTCAACCTTGTCCACAGGGAACAGGCACTATCTTCATGACTGGTATTTTAACTAATGGGGAAATCCTTAACTTCTAATCTGGGCAGTCTTTCTTTGCCTCTGTTGGTGTGGAGCCCCTACACCCGGTACCAACTGCTTCTGGCTTCCGTGAGAGACCCTTACCAAGCAGAGCTTTGTAGACTTCCAGGGGGAAAGAATTCAAGCTTCTGTGATGGCTGACTGAAGTCCTTCAGCAAAGGAGCTGTAGGGCTGTATAACCCCGACCAAGCTGTGGGCTGTATATCTCCCCAGCCAAGCCATAGAAGACAAAGCTTTCTACAGGAGCTCTTGGTATTATGTCCTGCATGAAAAGCTTCTCTGTGTGGATTGAACCCAAAAAGGCTCCTATTCCCTCCAAAAACCCAAAAGGGGGCGGGACCAGGGAACCTAACTATAATTGACAGGGGGCTTGCCCCATGATTGCAGCCAAAAGAAGCCACCTATCTGCAGAGTCCCTGAAACTTAGGACTCCAACAAACATTCAATGCAAAGCAAACAAAATTGGAGCTCCTGGTACAGCTGTACCTGCACAGAAAGTGTGATAGAATGGCAGTGGTAGATGTGTTCAAAGATTATATGCAGCCACCTCTTCATGGAGAGGAATAATAGAATCATAGTGTTGGATGTATTAGATAGTGTTGGATCATAGAATCACATGGGCCAGTCGGTCCAACCCAATTTTACAACCCAATTGTACAATACATGCCTGTCATAAGTCATGCACCTGGCTTCAGGATCACTTGTTGACTCATGTATAGGAGAACATCAGTTACAATATCTGATGTAATTGTACCGATTTATTTGTGTACCTTTACAGGATCTAGCCAATTTTATCTGACATTTGTTTTTCCTCTTATGCTTTCCCACCAATTTTTGTGTCAGTTCTCAGCAGAAAAAAAGAGTAATAATAATATCTATATAAATAAAAATGTAATGTTCGTTTGAACCACTGGATCAATTGACATGAAATTTGGACATAATACACCTAACAATCCAACAAGTGTCCATCATCCCTAAAACACACACAAACACACCCACACCCAAAACCCCAGCGGAACAGACTTAAAACCCCCCAAAAATACACCATATATACATATACAAATACACACATATACATATACACATGCACATATTCATACACACACATGTATATATATGCACAAACACACAAAAATATACACACACATACATATACATACATATATACATATACACTTGCACACACACACATATATTCACACAAATATTCATATAGACAAGCACACACATATACACAATATGCATGTACACATATAAACACAAATATACACACACACACACACACATATATATATTTGCAAACACACATATACACATATATACACACACATACAGAGGCAGCCCTAGGTAATTTTCAACGGTAAGCAAACAGTATATTGGTGCCCCCCTTCCCAACCAATCACTGATATATATTTTCTGTTCATCATGGGAGTTCTGTGTGCCATATTTGGTTCAATTCCATCATTAGTGGAGTTCAGAATGCTCTTTGATTTTAAGTATACTATACATCCCAGTAACTACAACTCGCATATGTCAAGGTCTATTTTCCCCCAAGAGCGCCCCTGAGCAAAATCAACTATACTGCGAATGCTTACTTTGCGTAATGGGTTGAGCCGCCCCTGCACACATAAACACATACACACACAAAACACACATACACAGACTGGGCCACAGCAACGCGTGGCAGGGGATGGCTAGTAGCAGGCCCGTAGCCAGGATTTCGTTTCGGGGGGGGGGGGGGCTGAATTTTTTTTCAGGGGGGGTTTCGGGGGGGCTGAGTTTCGGGGGGGGGCTGAGGCTGAGTGAAAGAGGGTCTAGCCTAGCAAACCTTTTGTATCATTACCCCAATACCCCCATGCATATGGGATATATTGAGTATGGTGATCAGATCATGATATGAATAAACATAACAGTTTAAATAATGTACCAGTAAGGCCTTCTCGCGGACCACCATGAGAATTTCGGGGGGGCTGAAGCCCCCCGAGCCCCCCCCCCCTCCCCGGCTACATGCCTGGCTAGTAGTATATAATTCCTTTAGTTGGGAATGCAATGCCAGGTGTGCTAAAACTGGAAACACTTGGAATTTCATAAAGCAAACAAATGTGTTTTACCTTAAGGTTAACTATCGGCAAATGATATCGGTCAGTTTTTCTGACAACTGTCAAAAGGTCTTGAAGATGTGAAGACAGGAAAGCTCTGTATGTTGATGTTAACCCAGCAGCCCGGGCCTGTTGAAAGCACTGGTAGTCAGCTCGCATATCACCAGAAAACGGGGTATTCAAAGCCACCAGATGAAGCTGCAGAGGAAAGGATGAAAACAAATTACTGTAATGCAGTATGGTATAGAAGGAAATCTAGTACACACAGGCTGAATTTGGATGATCAGGTCTTCCCATTTTGACCATAAGGACTGTCTCAATCCAGGCCCCTAAACATTACATTTATTTATTTATTTACACCATTTCTACCCCGCCCTTCCCACCCCCGAGGAGGGACTCAGGGCGGCTAACATAGGCAACAATTCAATGCCAACAGTATCAATAATAATAATATAAACCAACAATATAAAATCCTATTACATAACAATTAAACAGTGATATTAATTAAAATTACATAATCACATAGAACAAATCACATAATCACAAGTCATATAGCCATTTCCAATTTTCATAACAATCCTATTGTCCAGTTCAGTGCCTAAAGTGTTGCTGTGCCCACTAGCCAAAGGCCTGGCTCCAAAACAACGTCTTTAGTTTTTTCCTAAAAGTAAGGAGGGAGGACGCCGATCTAATCTCACTGGGAGCGAATTCCATAAGCGGGGGGTCACCACCGAGAAGGCCCTGTCCCTCGTCCCCACCAGACGCGTTTGAGACGCTGGTGGGACCGAGAGCAGGGCCTCCCCAGTAGATCTTAAATTACGAGGTGGAACGTAGAGAGAGATACGTTCAGATAAGTAAGCTGGGTCAGGCTAGAATGGAGACAAGAGAAGAGAAGGAAAATGACTCCAGAATGAGAGCCACTGCTGGTCTCATTCTGCCTTTTCCCAGTTGAGAAAGATGTTGGAGAAAGAAGCCTTTGGTCCTCCAGTTGTTTTGTACTTCCAGAAATCCCAGCCATCTTAACAACAGTTAGGAATTATGGAAGCTGAAGTCCAAAACACCTGGAAGAGCAAAAGTCTAGAGGAAGAGCACTGGTCTAGAGGAAATAAGGATGGTAAATAAGGATGGCCCTATGTAAGCCACCCTGAGTCTCCTTGGGGAGATGGTGGTGGGGTATAAATAAAGTTTAATAAATAATAATAATAATAATTAATAATAATAATATGTGATGAGTACTGTGGGGGCAGAAGTTACAAAAAAAGTGAGAATCTTGAAAATGTGAAGGTAAGAAAAGTCACCTTTTTTCTGCTACATTTCAGTAGTCTTTCTTGAATCCCTTTCTCATATGATTTGGAGACAAACAAAACCTCACTATCTCTTATAGTTGTTTTGTTGGATTTCTATCCCACTCTTTTCAATGAATTCAAGATGGCATAGAAGGGTCTTGAGACTATCTGGCCCCTCTAAATGAGTTCAAGTCCCCAGGGCCAGATCAACTACACCCAAGAGTACTGAAGGAACTAGCGGAAGTCGTTTCGGAACCATTGGCAACCATCTTTGAGAGTTCTTGGAGAACGGGAGAAGTTCCAGCAGATTGGAGGAGGGCCAATGTGGTCCCAATCTTCAAGAAGGGAAAAAAGGATGACCCAAACAACTACCGTCCGGTCAGCCTCACGTCAATACCAGGCAAGATTCTGGAAAAGATTGTTAAGGAAGTGGTCTGCAAACACTTAGAAACAAATGCGATCATCACTAATAGTCAACATGGATTTATCAAAAACAAGTCATGCCAGACTAATCTGATCTCTTTTTTCGATAGAGTTACAAGCTGGATAGATGCAGGGAATGCCATGGATGTAGCGTACCTGGATTTCAGTAAGGCCTTCGACAAGGTCCCCCATGACCTTCTGGCAAACAAACTAGTCCAATGTGGGCTAGGCAAAACTACGGTGAGGTGGATCAGTAATTGGTTAAATGGACGAACACAGAGAGTGCTCACTAATGCTTCCTCTTCATCTTGGAAAGAAGTGACAAGTGGAGTGATGCAGGGTTCCGTCCTGGGCCCGGTCCTGTTCAACATCTTTATTAATGACTTAGATGAAGGGCTAGAAGGCATGATCATCAAGTTTGCAGACGACACCAAATTGGGAGGGATAGCCAATACTCCAGAGGACAGGAGCAGGATTCAAAATGATCTTGACAGATTAGAGAGATGGGCCAAAACTAACAAAATGAAGTTCAACAGGGACAAATGCAAGATACTCCACTTTGGCAGGAAAAACGAAATGCAAAGATACAGAATGGGGGACATGCCTGGCTCGAGAGCAGTACGTGTGAAAAAGATCTTGGAGTCCTCGTGGACAACAAGTTAAACATGAGCCAACAATGTGATGTGGTGGCAAAAAAAGCCAATGGGATGTTGGCCTGCATCAATAGGAGCATAGTGTCTAGATCTAGGGAAGTAATGCTACCCCTCTATTCTGCTTTGGTTAGACCACACCTGGAATATTGTGTCCAATTCTGGGCACCACAATTCAAGAAAGATATTGACAAGCTGGAATGTGTCCAGAGGAGGGCGACTAAAATGATCAAGGGTCTGGAGAACAAGCCCTATGAGGAGCGGCTTAAGGAGCTGGGCATGTTTAGCCTGAAGAAGAGAAGGCTGAGAGGAGATATGATAGCCATGTATGAATACGTGAGAGGAAGCCACAGGGAGGAGGGAGCAAGCTTGTTTTCTGCTTCCTTGGAGACTAGGACGCGGAACAATGGCTTCAAACTACAAGAGAGGAGATTCCATCTGAACATGAGGAAGAACTTCCTGACTGTGAGAGCCGTTCAGCAGTGGAACTCTCTGCCGGAGTGTGGTGGAGGCTCCTTCTTTGGAAGCTTTTAAACAGAGGCTGGATGGCCATCTGTCAGGGGTGATTTGAATGCAATATTCCTGCTTCTTGGCAGGGGGTTGGACTGGATGGCCCATGAGGTCTCTTCCAACTCTTTGATTCTTTCATTCTATGATTCTATGAAAATGCATCTGGGACATGATGCTGGGAGTTTCCTTCTGGAAAGGCACACCGGAACAGCCAAGCCTTCAAGCTCTAAAGACTGCCAATGTTCCTAGGACCACTATCCAAATATTCAAAGCGAGAACACTAAACACACTTCGATAATTTACTGCAAACATGGCCCGAGAAAAGAATACTCACTATATGACCCTGTCAATGGAAGACCCGTTATACATATACGAGATAAGTAAAGGCTCTGCTGAACTCGGAACTATTTCCTTAAGGATTGGATGCAGACCCTACCACGGAAAAAAGAGAAGAAGGAAAGAAGGGAGAAAAAAAGGAGGAAAAGGAAAAAAGGAGGAAAGGGAAGGAAGGGGAAAAAGAGAGAGGGAAGGAAGAAAGAGAGGAAGGGAGTGGGAGGAAGGTGATGTCATGGGTACCCGTAACGGCTAATAACCATGAATGGATTTTCCATGCCAGCAAACTACTGTACCTGAAATTAGTGAGAGCCATAACTGGATTATGTAAGTTGTAACTGGAAAGGAAGCAGAGGCAGGTATGCTAAGCATATTGGAAGAAGGCATAGTGTTATAATGGAGGAGAAAGCAACAAAGGATCGTTAAGTGGGCCATTACACTTGCAAGCCACATATAAGTGTCACTTGACTTGGCAGAGGGAGGAGGCTGAATTTCATGTATTCGATGAAGTGGCTTGTCTATGAAGCTTGCTAGCTGTGTGTCTAATACGATGCACTATCACAGATAAATTACATTGCCTTGAATTAAAGCAGACGTCTCGAATTAACTAGGTAGACAGTAGTCTCTTCCAAATGAACATATTTAATTACTCTCTATTGAATAATAATTCAGCATAAAGCACATGTCTCAATTTTACTGAGACAAGGTATAGCTCTGTATGACCTCATCAACAGGCTCTGTTTCAATGCAACATGGTCAGCAATGTTTAACCACAGAGTCCTAGCGGATCCATTATCACAACACAATATACTTCAGGAATCATTAGGTGTCCCATGCTAATAAGTATAGCGCGAAATGACGTTGAGCTATGTCCCCCCCCCCATTTAAGAATGCCGATAACTGCATGTTCTGCAAAGGCATAGGTAAACTACACTAAGGGGCTTGTGCAGTCATGCAACTGCGTGCTTGGCGCTCAGGTCCGGACTGGATGAGGAACAACAGTATTTGAACTAATCCAGACCACAGACATAGAAGTGTATCCTGGCAGTGCTGTAGAGACGTTAGCGACGCTTTCACAGCTATAACAAGAAGTGCGGCGCTGTCTATCAGCACGTGGCTTGGCAAGGGCGATGTGTCCACCACTGAGCAACCTGATAAGCTCACGAGTACGGCACAGTCTCGGATACGTACACTCCTGATCAGCTGTCTAGAGCCTTGGGAACTGTCCAGGTAAAAGGTTAGCTCATCGAGCCTGAACCTCAGGTTTCAGCGGTGACCAGGGGAGCATTCGCACAGTTAAAACTTGTGTGCCAGCTGCACCGTACCTTGGGAAGTCTGACTTGGCCACGGTGGTCCACGCTCTGGTTACATCCCGTATAGACTACTGCAACGCTCTCTACGTGGGGTTGCCTCTGAAGACTGCCCGGAAGCTGCAATTAGTCCAACGAGCGGCAGCCAGATTACTAACAGGAGCGGGGTACAGGGAGCATACTACTCCTCTGTTGCACCAGCTCCACTGGCTGCCAATTAGCTTCCGAGCACAATTCAAAGTGCTGGTGTTGACCTATAAATCCCTAAACGACTCCGGCCCAGTTTACCTGTCCGAATGGATTCTCCCCTATGAACCATCAAGGTTGTTAAGATCTTCGAGAGGCCCTGTTCTCGGTCCCACCAGCCTCGCAAGCGCTGGTGGGGACGAGGGACAGGGCCTTCTCGGTGGTGGCCCCACGACTCTGGAACTCTCTCCCTCTGGAGGCCAGAACCGCCCCATCCATCCTAACATTTAGGAAACGGGTGAAGACGTGGCTGTGGAGTCAGGCCTTCGAGGAATGAGACAACACCATAGGACTCTGGATGGAAGTGGATATAGATCCATCTTATTAGGACGACTGACCACTGTAGTTTTATATTTAGTGTTTTTAAAGTTGTTTTGTAATTTGTGATATATGATATTTTAATGAATGTATATGTTTTTATGGCTGTAAACCGGGCTGAGTCCCTCGACGAGGTTGAGAAGCTTGGTATACAAAACTGTGAAATAAATAAAAACCGGGCTGAGTCCCTCAATGAGGTTGAGAAGCTCGGTATAGAAAACGTTGAAATAAATAAATAAATAAATAAATAAATAAGATGCAGAACAATAGCTTCATTGGTCAATTTGCCAAGACACTAGCAACAACAAGGACCCCATGAGGCTTTCAGGGAAGAGCCTGGCCATGGGGTCCCAGTCCTTGGAGGAAGCTATAGTTTCCCAAGGACTAAGGACCAGCTTGATCTTGGCTGCAAGAATCCATTCCTTGGCTCAGTGGAGATCATCAAGCACCCTTTTGTGACTGTTGGACTTTCTTCAATTTCTTTTTGGCTCTAAAGAACTCATTTTCACATCTGAACTTCCCCAGTATGAACTATGGACACATGTTTTATTAAAATTATTATTTTAATCAATTTCTCTGGCGGGCAGGGGGTGGGAAGGGATGCTTGATATGAATTTCTTTGGATTCCTATATTTCCCCATGTATTTTTCCTTATTTTTGCCCTGGCACCCAACCCCTTCCCCCTTCGCCTCTTCGAGAAGGGGGAGCCAACAAGGAAGTTGCCCTTTGGCACTGAAAAGGGCAATCAGTGATCACAAAAACCCCATATCTTTGCCATTTTCCCGCAAAACAACAATGGAAAATGTATTGTCGAAGGCTTTCATGGCCGGAATCACTGGGTTGTTGTAGGTTTTCGGGCTATATGGCCATGGTCTAGAGGCATATTTTACAGTTATATGTTCATCTATGGGAAGCATCCTCAGACCTCACTACCTCTGAGGGTGCTTGCCATAGATGCAGGGGAAACGTCAGGAGAGAATGCCTCTAGATCATGGCCATATAGCCCGAAAAAACCTACAACAACCTAGAACTTGAAATTCCTATTTGATTTTGGAGTTGGGACTGTCAAACTGGAATTTCCTTTGGCAAACTTTTTGATCATTTCACAATGGGAGCGAGACGACTCTCAGGAGGTCGCCTTCCCCAACTTTGTTTACTTCTTTCAAAACTCCTCATAGCAAACATCCACCCCAAGCCTCACCTTTGTGCCTTATCTGATCATAGCAGGAAAACTCGGCTCAAATAATCAACACCAATCACCCACCCATCACATAACAATAGAAGTTGGTTTCTCTAGCTGGCCGATTTCCCGGACGCAGGAAACTCAGGACATTGGAATTCCATAATCCTATCACAGACGCTTTGTTTCTTTTCCGTCCCGCCTCCCTGATTTGCTGAAGCGCCAGAGCGGTGGGAGCTTCCTGATAGGCTCTRGCATAGCGGCGGAGCCCTGTGATRGGTCCTGGCGAGGGGACGACGGCCGAGCCTCCTCCCAGRTGTTATCCGGCCAGCCAATCACCAGCGAGCTGGGCGGAGGGCAGGAAGCGGGAGTTTTGAAACTTTCAAACCTGTAAATTCCTATAAAAATGCCTCTGATCTCTGTAACCACAWGCTCTGTAGGCGAATGATTGCTACATTGCATCCTTTTCAGCTGAATCGCTAATAAAAACACCACGGTGCTGTTTCCTCAACTTTGGTGAAGTTTATTTRGAATTTTTAATMTAATAAAATTGCTGAAATCAGGCTTCTCTAGCTCGCCAAAGTAGCGATCCCTCTTTGGTGAGGTCCCAGGGTCCCTCCTCCTGGGGAAGTCCCTCCTAAAATTCCCGTCGGCTTCAGAACTGGTACATCTGGCCGCTGCGGCAACATAGAAAGCTTACTGTGTGGGCGGCCAATGCTTCCCCCCATGAAATGGGGCAACGGGCGGGTCAGGTGATGCAGGTCATGGGGCGAGGGTTCTCCATACCTCCCGACAGGCACCACTGGATTTGCCATTATCTGTGGCAATTGTGGTGGCCTGTATGATAAGGTCTTTAATGAGATATGGCACTTACTTTGACATCATTCATTTTAACTCTTGCTACGTCATGGTTGATATATGGGAATATTTTTTTTCTTTTTATACTAGATACAAAATATAAGGACTTAAAAATTAGGAAACATGATGGAAATTATTTGATTACTTCATTAGAAATTATTAAAATTAGAACACTATTTCAAAATTTGTTATCCACTAATTTTGAGGGCTATTTAGGTGCCATCTTAGTTTTTAATAAGTGTGTAGGTTTTAATAGAATAGGTATGTAGAACTGAATCCAATTGTAAATTATAACTAGAGAAGACCCACTGTACTGATGTGATTTGCTCCATAATAATCATCTGCATAACTCCCCATGAACAAGCTTTCTTTGAAATATAATTGGAGTAGTCGAAGGCTTTCATGGCCGGAATCACTGGGTTGTTGTAGGTTTTTTCGGGTTGTATGGCCATGGTCTAGAGGCATTCTCTCCTGACGTTTCGCCTGCATCTATGGCAAGCATCCTCAGAGGTAGTGAGGTCTGTTGGAACTAGGAAAAAGGGTTTTATATATCTGTGGAATGACCAGGGTGAGGTTAAGCAGTTTGCATAGTTAGTTACTAGGGCTGGGCGGTTTCGTTTCGTTAATTCGTAATTCGTTAAAAATTCGTTATTTTTTTTATAACGAAGCGATAACGAACCATTCTGGAGCAACTTAAAAATGAAACGAATTTTTAAATTCGTTTCGTAAATGCTTCAGATTCGTTATGTATTCGTTTCGTTATCGGTTTGAGGTCGTTTCGTTATTATTTCCGCATGTCTGGGGCAAGTTTTATAGTTGTTTTTTGTTTAATTAGTGAAAAAAAATTATAATATCACACCAACAGTCAACAACAGAGGGAGAGGGAAGCTTCAGAAGTTCCCCCTGTCCCATTTGGAGGTTTTTTAGCGTATTGCGCGGTCGCGTCCGCCATTAACGAATCGATTCGTTATTGTTTCGTATTTGTTTCGTTAATGTTTCGTAATTTTTTTAACATTTACGAAATTTCGTAAATATCGAACTTTTTTAAAAAAAAATTTCGGAATTCTTTTAAATATCGAAACGCAAAAACCCCCAAAAAACGAATCGATTTTAGAAACAAATTTTTCCGTTGTTACCCAGGCTAGATTAGATGTCCTTGTTTGTTTCCTCTCTGTTGTTGTGCTGTTGTAATTTTAGAGTTTTTTAATACTGGTAGCCAGATTTTGTTCATTTTCATGGTTTCCTCCTTTCTGTTGAAATTGTCCACATGCTTGTGTATTTCAATGGCTTCTCTGTGTATTCTGACATGGTGGTTGTGAGAGTGGTCCAGCATTTCTGTGTTCTCAAATAAAATGCTGTGTCCAGGTTGGTTCATCAGGTGCTCTGCTATGGCTGATTTCTCTGGTTGAAGTAGTCTGCAGTGCCTTTCATGTTCCTTGATTAGTGTTGGGGCAGTGTTGCGTTTGGTGTCCCTATGTACAAATGATCTACAGACCCACCAAGAAAATCCAACAAATGCTATGTTCAGCAAAGGACAAGAGGGATCCTTTCACTTCTGCAGGAGTCTACCGTGTACCATGCAGCTGTGGACAAGTCTACATAGGGACCACAGATATATAAACCCCTTTTCCTAGTTCCAACAGACCTCACTACCTCTGAGGATGCTTGCCATAGATGCAGGCGGAACATCAAGAGAGAATGCCTCTAGACCATGGCTATACAGTCCAAAAAAACCTACAACAACCCATAATTGGGGTAGCCAAAATCCAAAATACACAACCAAAATTCAGAAAATGCATCATGCACGCTTTCAAAGATTCAGTGGTTTCATCATTAAAAGGAGTTTCATGAAAAAGCCTGTGAAGATTTGAAAGTCTACATGATGTATTTTCTGCATTTTGGTTGGCCACTAGAAGCATTCTTGGTATTTACTGCTGATCACTTCACCATGGGACAATGAATCCACTTAGCCTGAACAAAACCAGAAAGTATACTAACACCTCCTCCCCTCCTCCCTGGTTTGGTATTACTTGAACACAGGTTTTCAAGAGATTTGTTCAGAGAGGGACAATGCCCACATGTCCTTCACCTATAAACTTTCTGTATGAATGGTAATAGCGCAACCTCTCCACTTCTACTTACACTTGGTCTTGCACTGTCAGGACCTGGACCTGATACTGGATGATGTAGAGATCCCTATTGGTTCAACACACAACAAATTATAAGTGTTAAAATACAGCCCTGAAATCATAGTTAACAAAGATAAAGACATTCATAAGATTCTGAAACTATTCAGAAGTGACCATGAGCCATAATCTAAACCCAGCTTGGTAACTCAGAAGACAGAAGCTAATAATAATAATAATAATAATAATAATAATAATAATAATAATATTATTTATATACCGCTCCATTTCCCCAAGGGGACTCAGAGCGGTTCCCAGGTAACATCACAAAACATACAAAGTAAAAACAACATAACCATAAGATTAACAAAACAAAATATAAGCATAAAAATTGTCGCCATAACACACATATATTAAAAGTAATCCTGCCTGTTCAAGGCAATTTAAAAGGCCGGGCCAAGATTTGTGCAAGCCCAAAAATTCTAGGGGGCCCGGGAATTAAGTGCAATGCTATGGCAGGCAACAATAATATTAGGTACAGGCCTGTGGCTGTTCATTCCGGGGCCGATTAGAGGAAAGAATCTGGGTAACTGGTAGGAAGAATAAGGCCGTATTAGACAATGTGTAGGGCTGAGTTAGAACTGGTCATTTTCAAAGGCTTGTTGAAACCACCAGGTCTTCAAGCTCTTACGAAAGGAGGGGAGGGATGGGGCCTGTCTTATTTCCTTTGGAAGGGCATTCCAGAGATGGGGGGCCACCACTGAGAAGGCCCTCTTTCTTGTCTCCACCAACCGTGCTTGAGACAGTAGTGGGACCGAGAGGAGGGCCTCCCCAGAAGATCTTAGAGATCGTGCCAGTTCATAGAGGGAGATGCGATCATGGAGATCATGGCCTGAACCGTTATATCATCAAGATCAACCCCAATCTTTTCTCTCTCCTTATATGTTAGCCATTCTATCAGATTTTTTAAACTCAAATGGCATCTGTAAGCTTATGCTAATCTTATTTTTGACCCCAATTATTGGCAATCAAAAAGCAGATACAAAACTGTTTTAGAAACTGGGACACAGGGAGAAACATGCACCAATGATAACATGGATGCTTCCCTAGTTAATAGGTTCCATGTTGTTCTGTCGCCGCTGGACCTGAAATGAAGTGCCTTTAAGAGAGGATTTATGGCTTAGATCCAGTGGGAAGCCAGGGGTGTCCGAAAAGAAGCCTTTAGGCAGGGGTAGGGAACCTTTGGCCCTCCAGCTGTGGTGGACTTCAACTCCCACAATTCCTTGAGGCTCGGCATTCGCCCCAAAGGCTTACCTTGGCCCAATGCCGAGCCTCAAGGAATTGTGGGAGTTGAAGTCCACCACAGCTGGAGGGCCAAAGGTTCCCTACCCCTGCTTTAGCGAATCTCCCTTATTAAGCAGTCTTTATGAGGCTTGAGCTTAAATATAACAGTCTTTTATTGGTGAACAAACAGGAATTGTAAAGCTTTCTTAACAGTCTTGCAATCTTGTTCACAGGGAACAGGTACTATCTTCAAAAACCTTGTTTGAAGGAAAATCCCCCTTTCTAGCTCCTCCCAGGCTGCTGTGAACCTAAACCTTATTGATGTGGATTCACTACTGGGTGCCGAGCAAACCTATCAAAAGGCTTGTAATCACTTAGCTGCGTTGATGGTTAGAGCTGTTATTCCCTCCGGAATTCCTCAGGGCTGTAAGGCTGTTTCCCCGGAACCTTTGGGAATCTTCAGAGGCTCTCAAGACTGTTCTCCCCCGGAAAGTCTTAAGGGACGAAGCCTTTGTACAGGAGGATGTCTGTATACATCCTCAGCATAGACTTCCTTTTTGAGACTAACTGAAAAATGGCCCCTTCCCTCCAAAACCAGAGAGGGGCGGGACCAGGGATCCTAACTATTATTGACAGGTGGCTTGTCCTATGAATGCAAATTATAACAGGAAGCCACCCTGCTGCAAAATCCCTGCAACTTAGGACAATGAACAAACACTCAGTGCAAAGCACAAAATTGGAGCCCCTGGAACAGCCGTTCCAGAACACATGTATGGCCAGCATTTTCCTATTGAAGCCGAAATATCCAAAGAACTAGTTTTCCCAGTTCCTTTCTCTCTTCATCTCAATTCCACATCACACTCCTCAAACAGTTGCTCCAAAAAGTTGACATTTTAGCCCTCAAGAGAGGTCTATCTTGCAGCTAACAAAATCTTCCATATTCGGTTAAGAATAAAATTGTTTAACTAGTATAGCTATGGATGCTTGGGTGAGTGTTCATATGATCTGCCAAATCTCCACAATTCTTTCCTCTCCAAAGAATACTCCAAAGAAAAGTTAACCAGACAAACACTGCAAACAAGTTCACATGATTCCCATATTACTTCCTAGGACAGTGGTTCTCAACCTTCCTAATGACATGACCCCTTAATACAGTCCCTCATGTTGTAGTGACCCCCCAACCATAACATTGTTTTTTGTTGCTACTTCATAACAGTCATTTTACTACTGTTATAAATCATAATGTAAATATCAGATATGCAAGATGTATTTTCATTCACTGGACCAAACTGGGCATAAATACCCAATGAACCCACATGTAAATGCTAGTGGGGTTGGGGGATGATTGATTTTGTCATTTGGGAGTTGTAGTTGCTGGGATTTATAGTTCACCTAATCAAAGAGCATTCTGAACTCCACCAGCGATGGATTTGAACCTAATTTGCCACACAGAACTCCCATGACCAATGGAAAACACTGGAAGGGTTTGGTGGGTATTGACCTTGAGTTTGAGAGTTGTAGTTCACCTATATCCAGAGAGCACTGTGGACTCACGCAATGGTGGATCTCGACCAAACTTGGCACCAATACTCAATATGCGCAAATGTGAACACTGGTGGAGCCTGGGGAAAATAGACCTTGATTTTTGGGAGTTGTAGTTGCTGGGATTTATAGTTCATTACAATCAAAGAACATTCTGAACTCCACTGATAGAATTGGCTCAAACTTCCCACATGGAATCCCCATGACCATCAGAAAATACTGTGTTTTCTGATGGTCTTTGGCGACCCCTCTAACACCCCTTCGCGACCCCCTCAGGGGTCCCGACCCCCAGGCTGAGAAACACTGTCCTAGGAGATGATAACATTAACAGGGCTAGGATTCATATTCAACTACATATAGACCATTAAAAGGTCAAGTCTTACTCAGAGTTTTAAAACCTACCGGGCTTGAAATTGCTGGAGGTGGAGGGCTGTCGACAGAGATGGGAATAAGTTCACCAAGCTGAAATGAAACATAGCATGACATTGAAAGAGAAACAGTGATGGACTGCAAGAAAGAAATTTGCTTGAGCACCCACTCATTCCTACTAGGAAAAAAATCACACAATCGTCTTTTCAATAGAAGATATACCATCTAGAATGAAGCATTACCTGCACTTTTTTCCATCCATCTTGAACACGAATGAAAACTTCACTGGTTTCGCTAAGATAGATCAATGTGCCTTCTGAAACTAAGTGAACATTTTGTAGCATGTTGCCAACATTTCTTAGTGTCATAACCTGTCCAGAGAAAAATATAAGACCAATTGCTTAAATTCTGAAAATAGCAAATTAGGGTCTAGTTATACTTGAACAAGAAATGTTCAGAAGTTCAGAAAAAAGACTCATTTTTCACAGAAGAGAATGTAAACATAGTGTTGGAACTGCAAAGCTGAAGAGAAGCAAATACTAGAATAGGCTATTGGCACAAAAACTACTGGAAAACTATGTTCCCTACCTCTTAGAACAGTGGTTCTCAACCTTCCTAATGCCGCGATCCCTTAATACAGTTCCTCATGTTGTGGTGACCCCCAACCATAACCCTAACATTTTGAATCGCCATGTAAATAATGATCTGCAGGATGTACTTTCATTCACTGGAGCAAATTTGGCACAAATACCTGGTATGCCCAAATTTGAATACTGGTGAGGTTGGCAGGGGGATTGATTTTGCCATTTGGGAGTTGTAGTTGCTGGGATTTATAGTTAACCTGTAAAAAAAGAGCATTCTGAGCCCCACCAACAATGGAATTGAACCAAAGTTGGCACACAGAACTCCCATGACCAACAGAAAATACTGGAAGAGTTTGGTGGGCATTGACCTTGAGTTTGGGAGCTGTAGTTCACCTATATCCAGAGAGCACTCTAGACTCCAACAATGATGGATCTGGACCAAACTTAGCACTGATACTCCATATGCCCAAATGTGAACACTCATGAGGTTTTGGGAAAATAGACCTTGAGATTTGGGAGTTGTACTTGCTGGGATTTATAGTTCACCTACAATCAAGGAGCGTTCTGAACCCCAACAATGATAGAATTGGGCCAAACTTCCCACACAGAGACCCCAATGACCAACAGAAAATAATGTGTTTTCTGATAGTCTTTGGTGACCCCTCTGACACCCCTTCGCGACCCTTCCAAGGGTCCCAACCCCCAGGTTGAGAAACACTGTCTTAGAACATCTTGGTAAGTGGGTGGGGAGAGGAACACAGGATTATTATTTTGTAAGAGAGAAAAAAAGGCTACACCATGCCTTCATACCCAATTTGTTTTGAATCATGTCTGTTAGTTTGTTATAATGCTTGACAGGTAGCTGCCCATGCATACCACTGTTAGACACTCTTGAGTGACCAGAGGTATGGTCCACTTCAGATGTTTTGTAGCCCACAAAATCGTGCTCCCTCCATATGGTAGCTTTGGACCTCAACAATGATAATCTATGTATATAATAAAAGTCAGTGTTTGTATGCAGAGGGAGGGCAGTGTATGTGGCAGCTTTCTGATTGGCTGCCACTTTCACAAGCCACTGTGACCGCTACAAATGGTAAACCTGGACCAAACTTGGCACACATAACCCCCATGACCCACTTTACATCCTGGTGTGGTTTGGGGGAGTTGGACCATGGATTATGGGATCTGTAGTACTTTCAAACGCTCTGGTTCCCACGGACCACTATGGCCTCCAACAAAGACCGATGAAGACCAAACTTGGCACACAGAGTTCCCACTCTACATCCTACTGCAGTTTGGAGGAGGGCAGACCATGGATGATGGGACTTGAAGTACCTCCACTCACTTCCCGAGACCGCTGCGACCCTTATCCAATGACTGATCAAGACCAAACTTGGCACTCATAACCCCCATGACTGCCTTTACATCCTGGTGAGGTTTGGGGAAGGACAGACAATGGATGATGGGATTGTAGTACTTTCAAACCCTTTGGATCCCACAAACCACTGCGGCCCCCAACAAAGACGGATAAAGACCAAACTTGGCACACAGAGTTCCCATGACCCACTCTACATCCTACTGCAGTTTGGAGGAAAGTGGACAATGGATGATGGGACTTGAAGTACCTAAACTCACTTCCTGAGACTGCTGCAACCACATTCAATGACTGATGAAGACCAAACTTGGCACACAGGGCACCCATGACCCACTCTACATCCTGGTGGGATTTGGAGGAGGTTGGACCATGGACGATGGGACTTACAGTACCTTCACTAACTTCCCGAGAGCACCGTGAGCCACATAAATAACAGATGCAACCTTGGCACACAATGCCTTTCTCAGAAAAACTCCAGGTCCCCAAGCTAGTAAATAATAAAAAACACTGATCATATGAAATGTGGCTACTGCAAAGGATGTGGCTGCACATTTTAGCAGCTGCTTAGATTGAATTTGTGTTGATGCAGTATGTTTATGCAGTCTGTGCCTAGTTGCAAGATTGCAGTGAATCCTGCATTAAGCAATATCATTGCGATCACAATATTTCCTTCCATTCAAACTCTTGATGTCTGGCAAGCTCTTAAAAATCCCATACATGCCTACCAGATTTCTGGTTCCTGGTAATCCAGGTTCTCCAGGAGGTCCTGGTGGGCCTGCTACCGCTGCTGTTTGAAGAAAACAAAAACCAATGTTATAACACTATATAACAAAATTTGAAAAAAAAAATCTGTTCCTGGTTTGAAAGGATTATTTCCTGTTTAATTGTGCGCTGGAGCTAGGTGTGAATGATTCAACTGCCCACCTTGATTAGCATTTAATGGTCAGTTGAAACATTCACACCTAGATCCAGCAGACAAAAGTCCTTTGTCCCACCCTGGTCATTCCACAGATATATAAACCCATTTTCCTACTTCCAACAGACCTCACTACCTCTGAGGATGCTTGCCATAGATGCAGGCGAAACGTCAGGAGAAAATGCCTCTAGAACATGGCCATATAGCCCGGAAAAACCTACAACAACCCAGTGATTCCGGCCATGAAAGCCTTCGACAATACACAATTACAAATATTGTGTAACGACATAATGCGAGGGGGTCTATCACCGGATTCTTGGAAACAGGAAGAAATACTTAAAATTTTAAAAGATGGGAAGGACCGTTAGAGGTAACATCTCATAACATCACTCTTCTCACCTTTTTGAATGAGAGATCACCATAGGACATTACAAAATGTACTCTCTGAAAGGAGCTATATGGGTTAAGGAATGGGCAGGTTTCACTCCTCCAGAACTCAGTTCTGGCATTAAGGCTGTTTGGTGTTTTACTCCAGATACCTAATAAGTATCCCATTTCTTCATTTCTAAGATGCACTCATCCCCGATAAAAATATCTAAAACAATGTGACTATTGGAATTGTAAGTGCCTTTTATAAATATAAATAAAGCTCTATTTCTGTTACTGGTACTGAAATTAGTATGCGTTTTACAATTGATGATGGCTTAGAATTGACGAAATACAGGATCTATATTAATGTATACATCAGCACATCCATGTTCCTATATGTACATACACATTTCATACATATGTGCACAAAAAAGGTGTTGTCATTATACTATACCTGAACCATAGATTGCAGGAGGTCCTGGAGGCCCAGGAGGCCCCGGGGGACCAGGTGGCCCAGCTGGTCCAAATCCTGGAGGCCCAGGCAGGCCAGGTACCCCTGGGGGGCCTCTAGGCCCAACAACAGTGTCACCTTTTGGACCCTGTCACAATGGAAAGCACATACATTTTTCAACAAAATTTGCAGGTGCAGCAGCCTCAAGAGCAGGATTATTATTATTATTATTATTATTATTATTATTATTATTATTATACTTTATTTGTACCCCGCTAGCATCTCCTGAAGGACTCGATGCGGCTTACAAAGGCCAAGGCCTCAAACAACAACAACAGACAATAACAATAACAAGCAAATTAAAAACATAAGCAATAACAACAACAAAACATTACACTATTACGCAATAAAACCAGGGCCGGGCCAATGAAGGGTACAGGTTAAAAAGTGCTGGGTGTAAGAGGTGATATGTTGGGATTCTGGGCAAGTGCAATGTGCAGAGAGTCTGGGACGTAGTGCTGGAGATTATCCTGTTCCGGAAAGACACATAGGAATAGCCAGATGTAATAAATCTGATCTTTTGCCGGCAAGCCGAAGCCTTAGAAATCAGTAGCAGACATCTTGAGATAGGCAAAGAGGCAAGGAGGCAAGAGGGAGGAGTCAGCCAACTCCCGACTGGTTAGAGCAATAAGGGGAGGAGTTGGCTGTGAGAGGGAAAAAGGCTGGGTCTTTTGACAAGCTGGAGAGAAGCAATTTGAACATCGAAGAGGGTAGATGGATTTCTAGGATAGGGAGCTGAGGAGAATTTAGACAGAAGAAAGTGAGCTGTTGGAGTGAGACTTTCAGTCAGAGAATAAGAGAAGGACAAGGGCTTGATGTTTACTGTACAGAGGGTCAGTAAAGAAGACTTGTTCACTTGAAGCTTATTGCTCTGAGGGGAGTATTCGTTGAAGACTAATTGCTCTGTGAGACAGTTAGGGAGACTGTTCTCAAGGAAATACTGTTTCAAAAGGAAGTTGAACAGTATAGTTAAAGAGCCTCACAGCAAACCAAAGCTACTTTCTGAGTGAAAACTGTCTAAACAGCTAAGCCTGTGTAACTGAATTACGCTTGTGTACCACTCATTATATGAGTTGCTATATATTCTTGAAGTTTAATAAACCTGTTTCTAGTTCACTTTCAACTGGTGTCTGCCTTGGTCTGTCAAACTCATTAGAACCAAGCCAGCCTAAAGAAAACCTATTTACAGTCCAGTCAGCGAGTAAAGCAGCTAATAAAGAAGAACCAAGGGCTTAAGCACAATTTACCTAAAACACATTCACACTTTGTTTTCCTCAGACAATATAATTGAGGTGGTGCCGGCAGAAACTACCACTTACATCGGTCATTAATATCTTTATCTTAGTCGGTCACTTAATAATAATACAGTGGTGGGATTCAAGTTCTTCCTAATGACTGCCAGTGTGAGTGCTAGTCTAATGTCTTTGGGGAGGGTGTTCCAAAGTCGGGGGGCAACCACAGAAAAGGCCCTGTCCCTCGTCCCCATCAAACGAACCTGCGACGCAGGTGGAATCGTGAGCAGGGCCTCTCTGGATGAACGGAGGGAGTGTGTGGGTTCGTATACGGAAATGCGGTCACGCAGGTAGGCAGGTCCCAAACCATTTAGGGCTTTGTAGGTAAGCACCTGCACCTTGAATTGGGCTCGGTAGGTAAACAGCAGCCAATGGAACTCCTTAAACAGGAGGGTTGACCTCTCTCTGTAAGGGGTGCCAGTTAACATCCTGGCCGCTGCCCGTTGAACCAGTTGGAATTTCCGAGCCGTTTTCAAGGGCAGCCCCACGTAAAGCACATTACAGCAATCCAACCTAGATTAAAAAAGTGGGTGCTAGAAACAACATCATACGAAAGCTGACTGGCACAACCTGGGGATCACAACCAGACACAGTGAAGACATCTGCCCTTGCTATGCTACTCTGCTGCTGAGTACGCATGCCCAGTGTGGAACACATCTCACCACACTAAAACAGTGGATGTGGCTCTTAATGAGACATGCCGCATTATCACAGGGTGTCTGCGCCCTACACCACTGGAGAAATTACACTGCTTAGCCAGTATTGCACCACCTGACATCCGCCGGGAAGTAGCAGCCAATAGTGAAAGGACCAAGGCAGAGACATCTCCAGCTCATCCCCTGTTTGGGTATCAGCCAGCACATCAACGACTTAAATCAAGACATAGTTTTCTTAGATCTACAGAGACACTCGCTGGAACACCCCAGCAAGCGAGAGTCCAAAAGTGGCAGGCCCAAACCCAGCACCTCAATTCATGGGTGATACCAGATGAGAGACTCCCCCCTGGGCACACAGAAGACTGGGCGACTTGGAAGGCGCTGAACAGACTGTGCTCTGGCACCACGAGATACAGAGCCAACCTTCAGAAATGGGGCTACAGGGTGGAATCCTCGGCATGCGAGTGCGGAGAAGAACAAACCACTGACCACCTGCTGCAATGCACCCTGAGCCCTGCCACATGCACGATGGAGGACCTTCTTGCGGCAACCCCAGAGGCACTCCAAGTGGCCAGATACTGGTCAAAGGACATTTAACCAAATACCAAATTTGCAAAATCTGTGTGGTTTTTTTTTCCTTTTTTCTTTTTCTTTCTAATCTCTGTGTTTGTTTTGCTCTGTTAGAATTGTAATACAATGGTTGCTGATGACACGATAAATAAATAACCTAGAGGTGACTAAGGCATGGACCATCCCGGCCAAATCAGTTTTCACGATTTGGCCAGGGTGGCCCATGATATCTGCATATTGCTATTCTGTATAAGAGTGTGAGTATTCAAACATTTGGTCCTTGCAAGTGATGAATACTACATTTTGTAATGCTTTCCCTCTGTGGATAAAACAGCTCTTGCCCTGTAGTGGCATATTCTGAACAAAAAACTATCTGGAATCGGTAGGGTTTTTTTGCACACATTTCTTTCTGCCCACAATGAAGCTCACTTCCCTTCTGTTTGTCAAGAAGTCACATGGAACATCTTTGTTCTGCTCTCTTCTCTGGTTGCTGGATCTGAGAGCTCAGTTCTTCTCCAGTGTTTGGACCAACTGTTTATTTATTTATTTCATATATTTATATCCCGCCCTTCTCGCCACAAGGGTGACTCAGCACGGCCTCACATGAGCACCAGAGGATGCCAACAACTGTTCCAATGAAGCAAGTGCTAGATCAACTTCAGAGAAGTTCCGACTCTATTTCCTAGGGCTGCCATTCAACAAAGGAAGCTGTCAGATTCTTCTCCTCTTTAAAGTCCAAGACCTGAGCCATGACACCATCTCTGTACATATCTTTCGGAATGGCTGATATGCGTTTTTCTAATATCTGTGAGACTGGAGGCTCAGCTGGCGCATTAGAGTTCTTGTCTTTGCTGGATGTGTTCTGGCCAACAACTCTGTGAGGTCATTGTTGCACTCTGGAGCAAGCTTGCTATATATTTATTAGAAAAAGGTGTACTTTACATTGGAGGGAAGTTTTGAGTGTAGTGCCACATGGCTGTATCCTAGGACAACATGCTTAAATATTTMTATCAATGATCAGTGGTTCTCAAAGTGTGCTCCACGGAGCCCTTGGTGCTCCAAGAAGCATACTGGATGGTCCCTGGGTTTCTGCTATTATCACTATTGTTGTTGTTGTTATTACTACTACTACAAAGGCTGGGGGGGGGGGGCATCTGTTGTAGGTGCCTTTATTGCACTTTTCCTGCATGGCAGATGAGGGTTGGACTGAATGCCCCCTGGGATCTTCCACTGAAATAATGTTAAAGTTTGTATTGAATATAATATGTGATATAATATATAAACATTTCTTGGGACTCCACAAGAAACATTTGCTTCAAAAAGGGCTCCACGGCTGAAAAAGTTTGAGATCCCTTGACTTAGATTATGGGTTTGGGGGAATCAAGTTTGCAGATGATACCAGACTGGAAGGGGTGGCTAACCCATAGGAAGAAAGAATCCGAATTCAAAAGGACCTTGATAAACTAGACATTTGGACTGAAATTAATATAATTTTTATTGAGATTTTTTGAAAATTGTCCAAGTTATTTGACATTTTATATGCCTGCAGTGGCAACAGTCTAGGAGGCCGCAAAAGAAGAAAGCAGCTGATTTTAAGTTGCCTCTTCCTGGAATGTCTGGCTTGGACAGAGGCGACCTTGAGGCCAATGTACTCTGGGAGCTGTGGCTTCTGGTTTGGCCAATTGCCCATTCTGTGGTACTGGAAACTGTCCCAACTCCATCTTTCATCATATTTTTCTACCCAACCTTGACATTCAAAAATAGGAGGTAGTCTGAAGCTGGTTGCCTCCTGGTCACTATAGTCAGACATTTTTTCTTCTTATTTCTCTCATTATTCTTGCAATTCCTACTACCTTTCCCACATTTGGTAAAATTGTATGCGGGAGAACGGGATTTTGGACAATTTACGTATTGAATTCATACACACACACACACACACACACACACAATGTGGATATTAGGAGCCAAGTGGGCCAAATTAAAATATGAAAAATATTAAATGTTTTAATAAACCAACTGGAGATTTAATTGGGTCATTTATTTTATAAAAGAAAAACTTACCATTGGTCCTGGTCTTCCTGGAAGTCCTGGTATTCCTGAAATTGAAAATCCTCCATTTGGTTCTCCCTTCTCTCCATTTGTTCCTTTCTCACCCTTAAAACAGAAAAGATAATATAGAAGCACTTATGGGTTCTTCTTTTAAGTGTGCACGCATCTAAATAAATAAAAATGTAATGTTCATTTGTGGAATCAACATAACTCAAAAACCACTGGATGAATTGCCGCCAAATTTGGCCACAAGACACCTACTAACCCAAGGAGGGACCATCACTCAAAAAAATTGATTTTGTCATTTGGGAGTTGTAGTTGCTGGGATTTATAGTTCACCTACAATCAAAGAGCATTCTGAACTTCCTCTCCTCTCTCTTGCTGCCGCCGGATTTTAAACCACTTTCCCACTAAAAATGAGTTTAAAATCCGACAGTAGCAGGAGTGAGGTAAGGAGATGAAGCCATAGGGGAAGGGATTTACAGCTTTGTGGGGGGCTGGCAATTTTTGCAGGAAATGGGAGGCCAGAAGGAGAGAGGCAAGGAGGTAGCAGAAGTAGACAGACAAAGCAGTGGATCATTGGGAAATAAATTTAAAATCTGCCAATGGAAGGAGATAGGTTAGGAGATGAATTGTTTGGAAAGGGATTTAAAATTTGGCAACAGAATGAGAAAGTCTTCTCGATAGGAATGTGGTAAATGGGCTGGTGCTGTTGGCAAGGCTTGGAAGGACAGGTACAGGGGCAGCAAAAGGAGTGATGTGAGGTACAGGTAGTTAAGCAGAAGCTCCTAACTTGCAAAAAATCAAATCCACAAAAAAGAGACCTGTGAATGTGGATGACGCAGGGGACAACTGTATTGGTAAATTGGTTTTAGTGAAACGTTGTATTTGAAATATGATAGGAATATAGTATAGTTCAAATCTCTCAAAAGAGCAGATGTTTCATTTTCTTCCAAAATTACTATATTTTCTTGAGTCTAAAGGAGCTTCTACACAGCCTGGAAATACACATCAAAGTGGATTTCTGTCCCCATTCCTACAAAAAAATCCTGGGCTTTCCTGGGGGGGTGGCTACATGTCATCCCAATTATGATTACAATTACAAGCCACCCCAAAGCCCCCCAGATATACCCCTAAAGAGTAAATAAAACTTACCTGGCTGCCATTATATTCCTCCTTGCACTCTCCCGGCATGAGGAAATGATGCATCAGGAGAAAGTGTCTGTGTGTATGGGGGGGGGGAGGGGGATTTCCCCCCCGCCCCAATTTCCTGATGTGTCATTTTCTCATACCAGGAGGGCGCCAGTAGAAACGTAATGGAGGCCAGGTAAGTTTTATTTACTTCTTCTGGGTACATTTGGGGTTTGGGGGGAGGGGGTGCCTTCACATTTTTGGGGGGTTCCTGGAGTCCGAAAAACTGAGACAGCTGTGTATAATGGGCCCAGGGATCGCGTGATGCAGTCCCCGGGCCCAATCCACACAGGGACCACACCTAATAAGACCCGGATCTTACCATAAGATCTGGAGCTTACCAGGTCTTTAATTAATTCAGAATAAACCAGGGGATTTGACTTGTTCCAAATTAATTTGGTTTTACTGGAGGTGTTATTTGGACGCCTCCGGTAAAACCAAGGCAGGTTCCAGTTTTTGGGCCCATCTGGATGTACCCTAAAACACATGGCCAAAATTAGAGTTCACATTAGTAATTAGGGTACACATTAGATAATCTAAAAATTGAGGCAAAGTAAAAGGGAACGTTATTTCAGAAGTGCCATGAGGCTTGCAAGCAGGAAGTAGTCACTGAGAAAGAGGAGGAAAGGACACGAGAGAAGAAAACTACTTGCTTTTAAAGTATCTTCTGCCTCCCTTTTCCAACATTAGACTGCTTCAGAAGCCGAACAGAAGCCTGGGAGGCAGGCAAGAAACCTGGCTGTGAGTGAGTGAGTGAGTGAGGGAGGGAGGGAGGGAGAGAGAGAGAGAGAGAGAGAGAGAGAGAGAGAGAGAGGCAGTAACAGGGCCCCACAAAGTGATTTTTTCCAACTCCTCCACCAAAAATATAACCTCCCCCCCCCAAAGACAATACTTGAGCATCTTAAACAGATCATCTACACGTTCTTCCAGACAAAGAAGAAGAACATGTACAACATCATCATTTAATCCACATTCACCCCTCGCATACATTTGAAACATCTTTACCTTCATGACATTTAAGAAATCAACATATTGTGATGGCAAAGGATGACCTGGAAAATAAGGGAAATCATTTTATGTAACTTCCATTTTACATTAAGGTCTCCAGAACAGCAAAACACAAAATTGTCCCCTCCTCAATGTGACATCCTTTCAAATATTTAAACTATCATGTCCTCTCTCAGCCATCTCTTCTCAAAGCTAAACATAGCTATCTCTCTATGTAACTCCTCATAGGCTTGGTTTCCAGATCTTTGATCATGTTGGTGCCTTTTCTCTGGGCATGTTCCAGCTTGTTAATATCCTTCTTAAACTGTAGTACCCAGAAATGGACACAATATTCCAGGTGAGGTCTAACCAATACGGAATGGAGTGGTAGAAGAAGAAGAAGAAGAAGAACTTTATTTTTCTACCCCGTCTAAAAATAAAACAGCATAAAACAGCATAAAACAACATAACAAAAATAGCTAGCAACAACAATAACAACAGACTAATTTTGGAGGGGGGAGGGGAGGAAAACCACTACACGAACTAGTTAAAGGATAAAGTGGTTTAGTAGATGACAATGTATAACGGCATAGGAAAAATCATGGAAACAGAGCAAATTAACAGGATCAGTTAATATAATATAGGACATCAGATTGAATGACAATTCAAGTCATGATACAGGCCATTTGTCATAGGAGTCGTCAATCGAAAGCACGACGAAACATCCATGTCTTTAATTCCTTACAGAATGTGGCAAGGGAGGGTGCCAGCCTAATCTTCCTGGGGAGGGATTTCCAGAGACGGGGGGCCACCACCGACAATGTCCCCTCTCTCGTCCCCACCAAATGTGCCTGAGACGGGGGTGGGAGCAAGAGAAGGGCATCCCCGGAAAATCTTAAGGACCCCGTAGGCTCGTAAGGGAGGAGGCAGTCACACAGATAGGCAGGTCCTGAACCGTTTAGAGCTTTATAGGTGATAACCTGCACCTTGTATTGGGACCGGAAACTTATCGGCAGCCAGTGGAGCTGTTTAAACAGGAGGGTTTACCGCTCTCTGTAACTTGCTCCAGTTAACAATCTGGCCACCGATCTTTGCACCAGCTGTAGTTTCCGAACTGTCTTCAAGGGCAGTCCTATGTAGAATGCATTACAGTAGTCTAATCTTGAGGTAACTAAGGCATGGACCACCATGGTCAAATCAGACTTCTCGAGGTACGGTCACAGCTGGTGCACAAGTCTTAACTGTGCAAAGGCCCTCCCGGCCACCGCCGACACCTGCGCATCAAGCATCAGCGCTGAATCCAGGAGGACCCCCAGACTGCGGATCTGTGTCTTCAGGGGGAGTGTAACCCCGTCAAACACAGGTTGCCACCCTATACCCCGTTCGGCCGAGCGACTGACCTGGAGGACCTCTGTCTTGTCAGGATTCAATTTCAATCTGTTAGCCCTCATCCAGCCCATCACAGCGGCCAAGCACTGGTCCAGAACCCCAGGGGCTTCCTTGGATGTTGGTGGAAAGGAGTAGTAGAGTTGCGTGTCATCTGCATAGAGATGGCAACAAACTCAAAAACTCCGGATGACCTCGCCCAGATATCATGTAGATATTAAAGAGCAGGGGGGGAAAGAATAGAACCTTGCGGGACCCCACAGGTCAAAGGCCAGGGGTCCGAGCAGGTATCCCCCAGCTTCACCAACTGGGTGCGGTCTTGCAGAAAAGACCAGAGCCACTGCAATGCAGTTGTACTATTGGTTCCCTTGATCAAGACACTATACTCCTATTGCTGCAGACTAGAATCGCATTGGCTTTTTAAAGTTGCCGCATCACACTGTTGACTCATGTTCAGCTTGTGGCCAACTAAGACTCATAAATCCATTTGTACTGTTTTTAAGACTGGTGTCATCCATCTTATATCTGTGTATTTAATTTTTATTTCCTGTACATTTTCCCTGTTGAAGTTTATTTCTAACCATGGGCCATAGTCATATATAATATGTATTTCATAAGGATCGTCTCAGTAATTCTAAAAATATAGGGAAGTATGTTTTTGTCCTGACATTGACAGGGTGGCAATGGCCAATACATAGTAAGATTATGAAATCAACCCAATGGGATCTTGACTGAAGATCAAACCACCATCTCCCATGGCTTGAGAGATGCAGTGTTAAATCAAATAATTGGTTAGCTTGACATGTTTAGAAAGCTTTAGTAAACAAAACAAAAAAAGGGATTTCTCCAGTTGTTGCTGTAATGTAAGCATCCCCCTGAAACATGTATCTGTTATGTACAAATAAGAAAAGCATGCTTCTTCCTTCAAAATATGTTTTTACTCAAATGCAATTTAAAACCAAAATCATTGAAAATCCTCATCATTGATCTCTCATGTCCTATTTAGTAAGATTCAAATTAAGGGCACTCAGACCAGCTACTACTTATCTCATGCATTATGCATAAAATGATATGAAACTTGGCAATGATATGAGTCCCCTTTAGGATGAGAAGGGCGGCATATAAATGTCGTAAACAAACAAACAAATAGCTATGAAAGACCCTCTTTTTAAAATAGCACTATATATTGAAAATACTCTTCAAAATATAAAACTCTGGTGCTATAGGAAATGTCTTTACTACATATTTCCTCTTTCCAGTTTTCTGGAGATATTTGAACTTGGGTTGTTGTAGGTTTTTTCGGGCTATATGGCCATGTTCTAGAGGCATTCTTTCCTGACTTTTCGCCTGCATCTATGGCAAGCATCCTCAGATGTAACCTCACTACCTCTGAGGATGCTTGCCATAGATGCAGGTGAAACACCAGGAGATAATGCCTCTAGAACATGGCCATATAGCCCGAAAAAACCTACAACAACCCAGTGATTCCAGCCATGAAAGCCTTTGATGATATTTTAACTTATTTGTGGCATATTCTCATTCGTAATCACCATCAGAAAGAGTCTTTTAAAATATAATACCTGGTGGCCCTGGAGGACCTCTGTCTCCCTTTTCACCTTTGCAGGTCGGTGGAACATGTACATTCCTAGAACCTGTATTCAAAAAACATTTTTAGGAGAAAATATGCTATCAGTAATATGGTAATTTCTGCATGGCTTAAAACATCCACATAGTACAACACATAAACAGATTTCCAACATGTTTTGCTAAAAGTCTCCCCCTTTTAAAGCACCATTACTTTTTTTTTTTGCTGGCAAAACCAAAGCAGTAGTAAAAGTGGCATCCTTGGAGAACTCTATCAGTTCTCTATCAGTTCTCTATCAGAAAAATACAGAATGTCTCCCCATCTTGGAATATATTCTCTCTTGGAGGAAATACGAGGGGTATTTTTTAAGTAAGATCCGTTGGAACATAAGTACACAACGAAAGTTTATTTCAAAAAAGTAAATTTATTTTCAGAAAGTACATACTTCACTCTATTTTTCGACATAGTTGCCAAGTTTGTTCAAACACTTATCATACCTCTGAACCAATTTTAAAATACCCTCTTCATAAAAACTTGCCGCCTTCTCTGATAATTGCCTGTAATCAAAGAAGGGCGACCAGAGCGGTCCTCATCATGGACGTTGTCACGGCCATCTTTGAATTGTCGTACCCACTTACGCACTTTGCTTTCACTCATAACAGTATCACCGTACACTTCACAAATCTGTCGATGAATTTCTGCAGCAGGCAGGTTCCTTGCTGACAAAAACCGTATCACTGAGCGAACCTCACATGCAGCGGGTGAGTTGATAGTCTTAAACATTTTTAAAGCACAGAACAGAACCGTACAGGTTAGCTACAGAGCGGAAACTGAGCACAGTTGTTCCCGAGGCATGGCGGTACACGACGCACTGCTCGTTGCGGTATGCGTGCGAACTACTAGTGTCTACAACAAAACGGACCTTACTTAAAAAATAACCCTTGTGTATGAGATAGGATAGATTTGTTCTATTCTACAGCCCGACAATTTCTTAATTATATTCCCCTGTCCCTGATCAATACATCTGAGAGTGTGAAAATCTTTGTATACTTCAATATAGTAAGGAGTGTGGATTAGAACTGGCTACTGTCCTGAAAGAAACCACCAGTGCTGCCTCCATTTAAAGTGTTAGGGAGGCAGGGCAGCAAGAAAACCTCAAACAGACCCTGTGTTTTTCCTTCTGGTCCTTCTTGCAAAGCAAATTTAGAAGAGTTAATATGGTACAATAAGAACTTCTCCAGTAACAAGGGAAGCGATTCAAATAGTATTTCTCTTCCAGATAAACCCATTGCTACTTATTCAAGAACCAGTTGCAGATAAAACTGTTTCTATTAGTCAGGATAAAGGAAGGCACAACTGTGCAGAAGTCATTGTTATTATGTTTGTGTTTAACTGTTAGAGTATGTATTTGTGTTTGTAACAGTAGCTAAAACTGGAGTCATCTGGTTTGAATCCACAGTGAGCGTTGCCAAGGAGACGAGGCTGGCTAGCTCATAAGAGGGAGAAGTGGGCGGAGCCAAGCAGGAAAAGTTATGTGCGTTTTTAAAAAAAGAGGAGAGGGAGGCTTGGAAAGGCCTGAGAGAGAGGCTTGTGTGTGAGCGACTAGTGTTTTTTCAGTCTAGGAGGGCTGAAGAAAGAAACCTGGCCAGATTCTTTAGTCAAAGAAGACTAAAGGAAGCCTAGTTAAGATCCCTAGTTAAGGAACGACTAGAGATCAGAGATTTGATCAAGGGAAGATCAAATTGAAAGGCTATTTATAGTAGTGAAACATTGTTCACTAGAGAGCTTCACCTCAGTGAGTTAGCCACAAGCTGTGTTATCTGGAAGAGTGGACTGTATTATAAACCACGTGATATTCAAAGTTCCATAAGTTATTTAACAGCCTGCAACCATAAGCTTTGTACACAATAAACTTGTTATCTTTTGTTGAAAACCGTCTCATCTCAACTAATCTGCGTCTGTAGAGCCAGATCTCATCGGTGGTACCTCAAATACCTCACGTTAGTGGCAGTTACCTTAATTTACAAATAATAATTGGCCTCCTCCATAATATACTCTTCTACCCAATTGAGGCCTGAGATAAATTCCCTCCATAACATCCACATCTGTACAATTGGTGGCAGCGGTGGGATTAAAAAGTGTCTGAGGTAAAATACCTCCATTATTAGGGCCTGCCGTTGCCAACCTCAGCAACACACAAGCACCTCCTTGCAATTGGTGATAGCGGTGGGGATCTTCAAAGATAAAATTCCTATACCCTGTCCATCGTTGTGTTCACATCTTCCCAACAACGAAACATCCATGTCTTTAATTCCTTGCGGAATGTGGCTAGGGAGGGTGCCTGCCTAGGGAGGGAGTTCCAGAGACGGGGGGCCACCACTGAGAATGCCCTCTCCCTCGCCCCCACCAATTGCGCCTGAGACGGAGGCGGGAGCGAGAGAAGGGCATCCCGGGAAGATCTTAAGGACCGTGTGGGCTTGTAGGGGAGGAGGCAGTTGCGCAGATAGGCAGGTCCTGAACCGGAAGCAGATGAACACCAGAGTTTTTGATTCCAAGGTAATTTACTGTCTGCAAAGAGTAAATGGTGACAAGCCAACTGAACAGCTGAACTGCTACACCCATTGTTACAGACATGCGCAGTCCTAACTCATGACTTCATTCGCATTTCCTAAGAAGACTGGCATTACTTAATAGATGTCCCATAGATGTCATACAAAGTTCAAGTGTCTGGGTCAGCAAGTTATTCAAAGTCCAGGGATCAGCAATTTTAGTGCAAAGATCAGCCGTTTATCTAAGTTACAGAGATCAGCAGAAGCTATTCATGATTAAAGCAAAAAAAAAAATGAAGTAAAAATCTTCCCATATAAAATTTCCCTTATTGATTAAGCTCCTACACTTGGGGTCACGTAAACATTTCTCAGATAAAATGGGGATGTGCATCAAAAAAGTTTTAAAAGCTCTGCTCAAGTCAACATTCACATGGAAATTGATTGGAAGCCAATGTAGATTGCAAATACTGGCAAATCACAGATCTTAGAACTATAGCCTCAGTTTCTGAATAACTCACCGTCGGTTGATTCTTGGTTTCCAAGGTTATCAGTTCTTACCTGTATACAGAACAAATGTATTCAGAATGTAATTTACACACATTTACTTATGACTCATGTAATTATGTCAGTTTTTCCTGTGCAGTATCAATAATAAGATGTGGCCTGGAGAAGGTTCTTGTTGACACACCATTTTCCCTGCAAAAAAGTTCATTTCCTTCTTCCTCAGAGATTTTATCCCCTCCTTTGCATGCTGAAATAATTGGAGCATATTTTCAAGAGTTCAGAGAAGGGGTAACTCCTCTCAATTCAATGCTATGGTTCCCACCAATGGAGAAGGAAAAAAAACACACCACTGCCCTTTTTCAATGCCTGATTGTAGTGTGATAAGAGCAACATGGGAGTATGGCTGTGTACTGTGTTTATGTTAAGGAGTGTATGTGAGATGCATGGCATTCATTGACCTTGCAAAGGGATTTGGCACAGTGAATCGCAGCGCTCTCTGGACCATCCTCCAAAAAATCAGGTGCCCTAACAAATTTGTGAACATCCTGCGGTTCCTCCATGACGACATGAATGCAACAGTCTTGGACAGCAACGGCTCCCAAAGTGACCCATTTAAGGTGGAATCAGGTGTCAAACAGGGATGTGTTATTGCCCTAACTTTATTCTCCATCTTCATCGCTATGATACTTCACCTTGTTGATGGGAAGCTTCCCACCGGAGTGGAAATCATCTATTGGACAGATGGCAAGCTATTTAACCTCAGCAGACTGAAAGCCAAAACCAAGGTTACTAACATCTATTATAGAACTCCAGCATGCTGATGACAACGTTGTCTGTGCACATTCAGAAGAAGACCTACAAGCCACTCTAAACTTCTGAACACCTTCACAGAAGCATACAAGGAGCTCGGTCTGTCATTGAACATCGAGAAAACCAAAGTGCTCTTCCAGCAGTCACCAGGCAGAAAATGTTGACCATTTCCGCTACCTTGGCAGCCACCTCTCCACAAATGTCAACATTGACATCGAAATACAACACCGCCTGAGCTCTGCGAGTGCAGCCTTTTTCCAAATGAAGCAGAGAGTGTTTGAGGACGGGACATCCGTAGGGATACCAAGGTGCTTGTTTATAAAGCTATTGTCCTCCCAACCCTGCTATACGATTGCGAGACGTGGACTGTCTATAGACATTGCATGCGACTGATGGAATGATTCCATCAGCACTGTCTCCAGAAAATCCTGCAAATCTCTTGGGAAAACAAGCGGACAAATGTCACCGTGCTGGAAGAAGCAAAGACCACCAGCATTGAAGCAATGGTCCTCTGCCATCAACTCCGCTGGACCGGCCATGTTGTCCGGATGCCCAACCACCATCTCCCAAAGCAGTTGCTCCACTTTGAACACAAGAACAGAAAACGGTCACGTCTAGGCTGGACTATTGCAACGCCCTGTATGTGGGCCTTCCGATGTCTACGACCCGAAAGCTCCGTATTGTTCAGAATGCGGCAGCCAGGTTACTCACAAGAACGCCCATGAAATGCCATATAACACCAGTGCTGCAACATTTACATTGGCTTCCAACTGAGTACCGTGGCCTGTATAAGATGCTAGTTCTGACCTTTAAAATTCTTTACGGCCAGGGTCCATCGTACCTTAGGGACCGCCTCTCCTTCTCCCATCATCGGAGGTCGCAACGACCAGCCCAACGTGACTTACTCCATATACCGGGTCCTAGAGAAGTGCACTTGGAAAGGACCAGACGCAGGGCTTTTTCTATTTCTGCCCCTGCCTTGTGGAATTCCTTGCCGCCCTACATGAGAGCCATGCGTGACTTAGGGCCTTTTACTCTCGCACTTAAGACCTGGCTTTTTACTAGAGCATTTGATCTCTGTTAATTTTTAATTTTGTATGTATGTATTTTATCTTTCATAATTTAGCTGTAAATCGCCTAGAGCATTCTCGGATGGAGGGCGATCAATAAGTTATTAAATGATGATGATGATGGTGGACAGGAAAAGAGATTTAAAGATGGGCTCAAAGCCAACTTTAAAAACTGTGGCATAGACACTGAGAACTGGGAATCTTTTGTGCGCTCCAGCTGGAGGTCAGCTGTGACCAGCAGTGCTGTGGAGTTTGAAGAGGCACAAATGGAGGGTGAAAGAGAGAAATGTGCCAAGAGGAAGGCGCGTCAAGCCAACCCTGACCGAGACCGCCTTCCACCTGGAAACCAATGCCCTCACTGCGGGAGAAGATGCAGATCAAGAATAGGGCTCCACAGTCACCTATGGACCCACCGACAGAACACCGACCTTGAAGGACCATCATCCTCAGACTACGAGGGATCGCCTAAGTAAGTAAGTAAGTAAGTAAGTGTATGTGAGATAGTGGCATTCTGGCAAACACATTGGGAGCAACACCCCAAAGCAGCAGGACCACATCTATCAATTGTGGCAGGGAATTAGACTGGATGGCTCCTGTGGTCTCTTCCAGATCTATGATATTCTATGAATCAGTTGGCACCATACTACTGGCAGGTGGCTCCTTCCGATGTACTTCTTCAAAAGATACTGGGTCCTCAGACTAAATAATGTTTCTTTACTGTGCCCTCTTGTGTGTTCCTAGTCTTAGTATCCAAGATGTCCACATAGTTAAAAACAACTATCCTTTTAAAACATTGATTGGTTTCCCAAAGGACTGTTGTCTCAACCTCAGCCACCACAATCTGTTCATCAGCTCTTCATCACCACAATGCAACAGTACATAGACGTCAAAAGAACAGATTTCAAATGCACAGATTGTGTTTGCATGGTTAATTAGATCAAATTGTTAAATATTTACCTCCTAAAAACACAGATGGCAATTTACAGTCTAATGAAATCCATGATCACATTCCAGTTCTCAGGTTTTAAAATAATAAATGCAGCTGTATCTTTCTCTATTCGATTTTGCAAACTTTTTGCTGCCCTTGCATATATGTATTGAATTTTTTTCATTTAAAACAACCCTGAGGTATTTTTTTAAAATCAATATGCATCCCATCAGCTAGACTGTGATGTCTCTTTTGGGGGTGTGTCTGGGGGTGGATTCTGGACCGTGTGAGTCTTGACAGAAGAAGCTGCCATTTTTTATATATATATTTTTCTTTTTCCCCTCTTTTTTCCCCCCGACTTTTTATTTTTACAATACAGAAAATACATACCTTGCACACACAAAACATTTACAATTCCCACCACCAACATGAGGATTATTATCTTTCACATATTCATTTCTTTTTGAGACAATCATTATTTCTTTATCTTTATACATTTCCATCCTGTATGCTATATAGCATTTGTATCTTATTTCTTATGACCTGATCTCCAGAATGATTCATAATATAGTTCATTACCCTTGTCCAGGGCCATAGCCAGAAAAAGATTTTGGGAGGGGTTGAAAATTTGGGGGGGGGGGGGGTTGAAACCTGCCTCCTATTTATTTTATTTATTTATTTACAGCTTTTATATTCCGCCCTTCTCACCCCGCAGGGGACTCAGGGCGGATTACAGTGTACACATATATGGCAAACATTCAATGCCAATTTTGACATACAACATATACAGACATAGACAGAGGCTATTTAACTTTTTCTGGCCGCCAGGGGAGCTGTCGCTTTCATCGTCCATCTGCGACACTGATGAAGCACTTCCGCATTCCCCGCACGCTTCCCTGCTGAAATGTGTTGCCAGAGTCTTCTTTATGGCTTCATAAATCAGTTAATTTAGCCTCCCCACACTTTAAAGTGGTACCTTATTTTCCTACTTGACAGATGCAACTGTCTTTCGGGTTGCAAAGGTCGACAACAGGCTACACAATTGGTTGGAAACCCACTCCAACCCGGGCTGGCTTCGAACTCATGGCCTTTTGGTCAGAGTGATCTTAATGCAGCTGACACTCAGCCAGCTGCGCCACAATCCCCACAAAGAGCACAGCAGGGGGCAGAGCAGCCTTCCATAGCCTGCAGCTCCGCCCCTGTCAACCACCTCCACCAAGTCTGGCCTCCTTAATGAGAGCATTCAACACACACACACACTCCCAACTTGACTACATCGGCCATTGCTGCAAGTAATGACAGTGTGAATAAATTGTCAATATTTGCTTGAGATAGTGCTTGCAGTTCTGGAGGGACTCTTAATTTTTTGCATCTCATAGACTTAGCATGGGGATTTGGTTAACCAGTTAAAATTCATAAGTAAACCAGTTTTTTTAAAAAATCTGAAACATTTCGGGGGGTTGAACCCCTAACCCCCACCGCCCAGCCCTATTCATTACCCTTGTCCATCTATCTTCCATTTCTCTCATTCGATTTTCATTGATTTTTAAATCATTTAATTTCACATTCATAATTTCAAATTCCATTTGCTCCACCATATAATGGTACCATTTATTTATTGTCCATTTTGATTTATCTTTCCACCCTAATACTATTACTGCTTGTGCACATTCAATTATTGCTTCTTTTATTTCCCTTTTATTTCCCATTTCCTCTCTTTTCCCTAATACCGCTAATTCCTTTGTTATGACCCACTCATTTCCTAGTATTTGATTTGACACATTTTGTATAGTCTGCCAAAAATCTTGTACATATTCACATTCCCACATCATGTGCATAAAGTGCCCTTTCTGGTGGCATCCATGCCAGCACTGACTACTCCCCTCTTTATAGTAGTATGCTAATTGGCAGGGTGTGCGATACCATTTGTGCAATATTTTCCTCCTCGTTTCTCGTACTTTAGTATTCCTTTCCATCCCTATTATCTCTACCACATTTCTCATTTCTTGTTCCGAGATTTGTAACTCCGTTTCCCACATAGTTTTCAAGTCCTGTATTGTACATCCATCGGCCTCTATTAGCATTGTATATATTTTGCTGGCCTGTGCCTTCTTTCCTTCCCCCTTTTCTCTTATTATCTTTTCAAAGGCGGTATCTTCTCTCTTAACCATATTGATATTTTCTTTTGTTTTGCAATATGCACAGATTGCTCTTATCTGTAAAATTACAAGCTGCCATTTCTCTTCCAGTGCTTGCTGCAGGAAAAGCTCAAGACAAACTAATCAATAATTGATGATCTTCCTTTTGTTTGTTTTCTTATTTTTTACTGATATCTGCACAAATTCTTCCCTCCATTGTATCGTGCCAAAGGGTAGCAATCAGGGAAACCTATTACTGATCAGACGCATATATATATATATATATATATATATATATATATATATATATATATATATAAATGCTCTGTGCATAATGAGTACCTTAAAAACAAAAGAACCAATGAACAAAATCACACCAAATTTGGCAACAAAACGTCTCACAATACAAGGAGCGACCATCACTCAAAAAATATGATTTTGTCATTTGGGAGTTGTAGTTGCTGGGATTTATAGTTCACCTACAATCAAAGAGCATTCTGAACTCCATCAATTATGGAATTGAATCAAACTTGGCACACAGAACTCCCATGACCAACAGAAAATATTGGAAGGGTTTGGTGGGCATTGACCTTGAATTTGGGAGTTCACCTACATCCAGACAGCACTGTGGCCTCAAACAATGATGGATCTGGACCAAACTTGGCACAAGCACTTAATATGCCCAAATATGAACACAGATGGAGTTTGGGCGAAATAGACCTTGACATTTGGGAGTTGTAGTCACTGGGATTCACAGTTCACCTACAATCAAAGAGCATTCTGAACCCCACAAATGACAGAATCGGGGCAAATTTCCCACACAGAACCCCCATGACCAACAGAAAATTCTTAAGGCCATCCAATCCAACTCCCTTCATCAGGGCAAAAAAGTGTAATCAAAGTTCTCCTGACAAAGAGCCATCCAGCCATAGATAGATAGATAGATAGAGAGAGGGATGGATATATATATATATATATATATATAT